AACAACTGTAATTTTAAAGTTGTGAGAATTTTAATCAGTTGTATCTCGTTTGTTGTTTTTTCCCAATTTTTTGATCCAAAATAAAACTGTTAAATTACGATCATGAGCATGTCTTGGCATGTTATTAAAGGTGTTTAATCGTAATGATTTAGGGAAAATTCTTTTAAATAACATAGTTTTCTCTTGAACTTTTAGAGCAGGCACTTTATTGATTATGTTTGATCATATTAATCTAGGAGAAGTCTGTATAATAACAGTGTTTCTTTGTAAAACTCTTAGTGTATACCTTTATTGAATGGATTTGATCGTAATAATCTAGGAAAAGTCTGTAAAATAACAGTGTTTTTCTGTAAACATTTTAATGAAAATATCTGTAGATTTATTATTTTTTGCACTTTATTTTAACAAAGACATTTTACCGTAATTTTATGGTTTTTGTTTGGCAACCGTAGCTGCCAGTCATTTGACCTTTTTTTAACGATTTTTTTTCTTACAGTGTAACAAAATGAAAAAGTCAAAAATGAAAGTCAAATTGTTAATTTAGAGAGATTGTTTGTCATTTTAATAAGTTTTGAATATAATGTGAAATTACAAAAATTATTGTAAAAAATGTAGAGATTTTTTCTGTAAAATTAAGGTTTTTTTTTTTACAGTGTAGTGTTAACGGTATGTCGTAGCAAAGACGCAGACAAGGGAAAATGCTGTTTGGCACCGCTAACGATTTAGCTACAAATTCATATTTATCAGTCAAATTGCTGTAAACACACACACACACACACACACACAAACTTTTCACCAGCGCATGCGCATCTCAGATTATGAACTCGCAAAAGATATGTGAACGATTCATATTACTCACACAGGCATATTCCGAATATATGTGAAAGACGTCGTGTAACGCGTTAAGTTAAAAAAAAATATAGGAGAGCTTGCTTAACTCATGTAGCAGCACAAAAATCAATCAAGGCTCACACAGGTCGCATCCCAGATCTGTCAACAGTGTCACTGTATATTACAGAACAATAACTTAATCCGACCATCAGAGAAAAATATACATAAACATCGTTCCTGCACACTTGCGCTTCGTGTGTTACACGCGTCTACAGACAGTTCCCACACACGCACACGCACACACACACACACACACACACACAATGGAGGCTGTGTGAGGCTGTGTCTGTAGTTTTATTTCTTGTTCTTTCCTTCAGTTATTGTGCTTGTTAATAGCAGGTGTTCATCAGTGTCTGAATTCACTTATCTGTGGTCATTTACTCTGTCTAGTGGACTAAACTAGTTGACTAATTTAGGGACTAGTGAATGAGGGTGTATAGTGAGACTTCAGACACTCTGATTAGTTTCTCGAAAACAAAGGTTAGATCTGTTACAGCTCATTCATTATCTTTTTGGCTTAGTCCCTTTAATAATCCGGGGTCGCCACAGCAGAATGAACTGCCAACTTATCCAGCATGTTTTTATGTCGCGGATGCTCTTCCAGCTGCAATCCATCTCTGGGAAACATCAACACACACACTCATATACTACGGACAATTTAGCCTACACTGTAAAAAAAAAAAAAAGAAAAAAATTAATTAAAAAAAATCTCTAAATTTTTTACAGTAATTTTTGTCATTCCACATTATATTCAAAACTTAGTAAAATGACAATCTCTCTAAATTAACAGTTTGACTTTGATTTTAGGTACTTTGTTATTCATGACAAATTAATGGCATTTGTGTTTTTTATACAGGGAAATTACATTATTATTTTTTACAGTATTTTTTCTGTTATCTTATAATATATTCAAAAGTTCATAAAAATTACAAACGATATCTGTAAATTAACAGCTTGACTGTTATTTTATGTACTATATAATGACAAATTACAGCAATTTATAAAACAATGATAATGTTGTATTATTTACACAATGTTTTTTCCTGTTTTTTTGCAGTACATTTTAAAATTACGTAGAATAATAGTAATAAATTGTAATTACTTGCTCTGCAAAAAAAAAAAAAAAAAAAAACGATCGTAAAAAAAGGCCAAATGACTGGCAGAGCTATGGCTGCCAAACAAAAACTGTAAAATTGCGGTAAAATTTCTTTGTTGAAATAAAGTGCAAAAGAATAATAAATCTACATATATTTTCAATAAAATGTTTACATAAAAACACTGTTATTTTACAGACTTTTCCTAGATTATTACCATCAAATTCATAAAATAAAGTTACACACTAAGAGCGATCACATGCACCTGTTCCAAATTCCGCTGATTGCACACAGTCAGAGGATCGTCATGAACTGATTACATGGACTTTAAAAGCAGCACAGACGCATGCACCAATTGCTTGGTCTTGTTATACTGTTACTGTGAACATTATGATGTGTTTCTTTTCTTTTGCCCTGCTTTGTTTGTTTATGTTGTTTGCTGCCGGGACTGATCATTTGCTTATTATTTGACCATGACTCTGGATTCCCTGCATACATCTGTTCGCAGTTTGCTCCTGTGATGGCTGTTGCTTACTTGACCATCTCTGTGTAATAAACCTGCATTTGAATCTGCTCTTCTTTGTCAGTGTCCCTTTCACGTTACAGTTTCATTTAAGATTTGGAACTGAATCATTCCAGATAACTTAAACCTCTACATGTTTACAGGAATACTATTCAATAAAATGTAACATTGTAGTTGTGAGAATATTATTCAGTTGTATCTTGTTTGTTGTTTTTTCCAAACTTTCTTGATCCAAAATAAAACTGTTATATGTTTTCTGACCATGAGCATGTCTTGGCATTTTATTAAAGATGTTTAATCGTAATGATTTAGGGAAAATTCTTTTAAATAACATTGTTGATAACAGGTGTTGAATAACACTTGAACTTTTAGTGCAGTCACTTTATTGATGGTGTTCGATCATAATAATCTAGGAAAAGTCCGAAAAATAACAGTGTTTCTTTGTAAAACTCTTGTGTTACTTTATTAAATGGATTTGATCCTAATAATCTAGGAAAAGTCTGCAAAAGAAGTGTTTTTCTGTAAACATTTTAATGAAAATATCTGTACATTTATTATTTTTTGCACTTTATTTCATCAAAGAAATTTTACCATAATTTTTGTACCCAATTTACCTGTACCACATGTCTTTGGACTGTGGGGGAAACAGGGAGGGAGAACGCAGGGAGAACATGCAAACTCCACACAGAAACACCAACTGAGCTGAGGCTCAAACCAGCGACCCAGCAATCTTCTTGCTGTGAGGCAACAGCACTACCTACTGCGCCACTACGTCACCCTTGTGTTACAGCTATTTTCCGTATTTTGTACAGAAGCAAGCTGTTTATTTTTTAACAGGTTTTTACTGTAGATTGTACAGACTTTTACTGTTAAAATTATTTTTACAGTGTATATAAATTAATGTAAGTGTATACAAATGACCTCCCACAAGTCTGTCCTTCTTTTAATATTTAAATGTATGCTGATGACACAGTTTTATACAGTATGTGCCTGCGAAAGACAAACAACTGGCAGCAAACATAATCGAGGCATTGGTACATGTTTCTGTTAGTTGTGTGACCCTTGTCTTGTTATATAATTAATATAAGTAAAACTGTTTTTTTTTTTTTTTTTCACAATCCTTGACACTGATCCATTGTCCTGATGTATTTAATAAAGGAGAAAAGCCCAGGGTTGTCTCTGGTTTTAAATATTTATCTTTAATATTTTTAAATTAACATTTTAAAAGCATGACAAAAAAAGGTTGCTAAAATTTTTACATTTAATTTAGCCAACTTCATGCATATTCAACCTCATTTGACTAAAAAAGCAGCTAAAAAGGTTATCTAGTCCCTGATTTTTTTCTTATATCACATATTGTCTTACTAGTTGGTCACAAGCCAGTTCTAAAACCAGTTGAATTACTTTATAAACAGACACTTAAAGTATTTGAACAGAAAACTATATAATCGCTTTAATATAAAATAAAAACGATTTTATTGAGCTTTGACAATTATATATTTTTTTAAATGGTTATGCTCCACCTCCATTATGTGAGTTTGTGACAGAAGAATAATAATGGCAGAGCAGTACAATCTATTACTAGAGAAGACTGTGCTGTGCAGTTTAGAAGTACAACATTTGCACAGTCAGTCTTCTCAGTTCATTTCAGGAATACGCTTCATATTAAATTAAGGGGTATTACAAATTGTTCAGCATTTACATAAAAGTTAAAGAAATAGCTAAAAGCAAACCAAGTTTTTAATCATGAAATTCTTTTCTCTTCCTTTTTATGAAATTCCTAACAGTGGTTTCATATTTCTGTTGTATGTAACTTTACTGACATTGTCTGTGTAATCTTGTGTTTTTGATTGTAGGTTGCATTTTATATATATATTATATATATTTATAAAATAGATTAATCATGTTAATCATTATTGCTAAGCCTAGGCCTTATGATTTCAGAAAAGTCAATAAGAGTTTTCACTAGTTATTAGGAGGATATATATAACTAAAGGATATATATAACTAAAGGTAATATATGGTCCATATTGATACCTCAACATGGGTGGCACAGTGGTTCAGTGGTTGGCACTGTCACCTCACAGCTAAAATGTTGCTGGTTCAAGTCCCTACTAGGACAGTTGGCATTTCTGTGTGGAGCTTGCATGTTCTCTCCCTGTTTGCGTGGGTTTCCTCCAGGTGCTCCTGTGCATTGAGCAGTTATAGATGATTTCCTTGGACAAGAAAGCCCCTTAACTTTTATCTGTTCAATGCTTTGACGAATCAGGGTAAAATTTTAGCATTAGGGTTCCAAAGTAATGATCCAATATGCAAAGAGCCTTTTTAAAGTGTCATATATAGTCAAACAGATGTGTGAAGAGATGCATGAATGGGACCACCCTGCTGCATTTGGGCTCTCTGATTTCAGGCTGCTCACACCCTTATTCTTGAAGGGTAGAAAAGTAAAGAAAGACTGCACTCAAAGCACTAAATGAATAAAATAAAACAAATTATGTACACACTTCATATTTAATGATATTGAAGAATTTGTAGATTGCATTTAATAGGTGTATTTTAATGAAAACACTTGCAATTGCTTTTTAAAAGCTCATAATGTATATTTATGCAAAAAGAAATTTAAAGTAATAATTCCCTATATGTATGTATTGAAAAAACACAAAAAGTCAAAGCATTATTGGAAAAAATATATCTATCTCTAAATGATAGCTATTTTTAACCTGGTGTGAAGTGCATATTTACATTAACAATGATTTGTGGCAAATGCATTTTGATTATAAACAGCAATTGAGTGCTACATACAGGCCAAATGCATAATATACATAATCCCACGCTGTCCATTCCCAGAGTTTATATACGCTCTGTAGTGAGTAAAACAAATGTTTTAAATTGCTGCTTTACATATCTATGATGTGCGTTATTAGCTGTTAAACTTGTGCTGCCACCTCATGTCCAGTTTGCTGCTGACTTTAAAAGTTAAGCTCAAGGAAGATGTAAAAGCAAAATACAACTAAATTTGTAGAAACATAAACAACAGTTTGAACTTTCTGAACAAAATTCAATTTATGTGATAGAATACCAGCAGTCTATTTGGCTATTCCCAAAAAGGTGGATGCTTCATTAAGTCAAAAACTTACTGCATTCTGCTAAAAATAATGCTTTTCTGATTGTTTATATACATTTTTTGACCTTCAGGAACCCAACATGTTGTTAATAATCATTAATACAGTAGATTGTGCTTCTGGGCCATATTCTTAATATTATATACACATTTGAAAGATTTTTCACCTCTCTTTCTTCCAAGGTGTGTGCATGTAGATATGTGTGAATCTTTATGTGAAAGTGGGTTTGCTTGTGTTAGGCATGTTCATTCTGTTCGATGTTGGCAACGAGCCCCTTTGTATCAATAGTGGTAGGAGACTGTGTCAGGTCAGAATTGATATAGAGTCTGTTGTCAAATGTACACTCTCCAATCGCAGGCCTAGGAATTCTCTTTAAAAACAAAAATGTGGCAAGTCCAGCCACTGCAATTATGACCAAGACAACTCCCACTACAATGCCAGCGGAGCTATGAGGGCCTGCGTCCACCACAGCCACTGCAAACCAAACACAGACATAGGAGCATCGTTAAAAGATAGCTAAACATCTCTAGACTAATATAATGTATTGTGGTTTGTGAGTGTTTTTAATATTAGGACTGTCAGTTGAATAATCTTTTGTGATTAGTTTAGAATTTTAATATGTCTGTTTGCCTTTAAATAGACTGTAGTTTTGCTTCTTTTCAAATGATGTGCATACAATTTAATCTTTTTTTTCCAAATTCAATTAATCTTTATTTCTATAGTGTTTTTACAATGTAGATTATGTCAAATAAGCTTACCAAAATTAGAAGTTCAAGTAAATTGAAACTGTGTCAGTCCAGTTTTCAGAGTTATCAGTAATCATAAAACAGATAGTTCTAGTATTTTTGAGCATGTTCATGTTCTAGAATGTCACTGGCCAATTCTAGGAACGGGTGTGATTTAATGAGGCTATGGTTAAAAAGGAGTTTCATCTTATCTCAGATGTGTTACTGACACAATACAGAGTGAAGTAAATATTAAAGGGAACTGCCCTTCATTCTATAAAATAAGCAGTTTTATATCTGTGAAGAAATACTGAAAAAAAATGAAAATGAGATGAGACTATAGATCAATTTGGAGTAGATGCCACAGTTACGTAACCTGGAGCTGTGTGTACAAACTGGTTGTAGAAAAATATTGGTAACAAGCGAAGGAAAACTTCATTGCAAAATATTAAATAAGAAAATATTATAGTTGTGCCTTTTAATGTCAAAATCGAGTTAAGTTTTGAAAAAGTAGAATACTTTTGTTGAATATGACATTTAAAGTTAGATGCAGACATTTAACAGGAGAACTGCCAGAATTCTGAAAGTGCTACTAGGCCATTGCAGTCATTGTTTGTGTCTGGGATATGGGAAAACAACTTTATTTTATTTTTATTTTTTTATATTAGTGCCTTAAAAAACGCAAATGCAAACATTAACTAATGCAAACTAAATAATTTAGTGACAAAAACTTTTTCAATACAATTTTAAATTTTGGTTTAATAGACTATCACTTTTGAAATATAGAAAGCTTAAGAGTAAAGGCACAATAAGATAAGTTTATTTATATGCCAGTTTTGAGAGGATCACACGATTCTCCAATCAGATGTTTCCTAAGTCACTATAAATAATCATAGTCTTCCTAGCACATTTACTTCTTGAAGAATCCCCCCTTCTTCCTAGATTGGGTGGCATGGTGGCCCAGTGGTTAGCACTGTTGCCCCACAGCAAGAACCTAACTTGTTCTAATCTTTACTAGGCCAGTCAACATTTCTGTACAGTTTACATGTTCTCCCCATGCTCATGTGGGTTTCCCCCGAGTTCCCCGGTTTCTTCCCACTGACCAATGACATGCGACATAAGTAAATTGACTAAACCAAACTGACACCATAGTCAAGTTCTTAGCCAACAATATTTTTCTCTCATAAAGTTATTCGTCATTAGCCAGAAATAAGCAGGGTAGTTCTCGAGATCTACCTGAGCTCAAACTCCCCTCTCGCCCTACAAACAGGAGGAAGCCCAGGGCTAGAGGATCTTTTAAACTCAGGGCTCTTTCCTGGGACAGCATGCAAAACATGCTTGTAATCAATCATCAGCTAAGTGTGAACTCTTGAAAAAACATTATGTGTGTATAAATGCCTTCAGATTTTTCTCAATCTCCTCTGTTTAAATGCTGTCATTTCACTTTAAAAGCAATGAAAATACCCTATTCAAGAAAAATGAGAAAAGTGCTCGTTTTTGCATCTAAACTCTTTATATCAGAGCATGTGAGTGGAGCGGAGGGTGAACAAAGCAAAAAGTGTAGCGTTTCAATTTTCTACACAGTGTGAAATACCTTTCTGAAGATCTGCTCATTCAGCTCATTGCTGCTTGCTTAACCCAAGATTACTACTGGAATTTTTCACAAAAATGTGAGTTTGCCAAAATACATTTTGTCAGAAGCAAAAATTGTCTTTTTTTAACAGAGTGCTTAAAATTAGGTTTCATTTAAAAACATTAATTCATTTGTACACTGACAGCCCTAATTATCAGAAACTGAGAAAATGTAAGTACATACGTGGAACTAATGGCTTCTTTGTTGGTGGTACAACTGAAATGCAAAAAGTGTATTAACATGTTAACGATTGTCATTATTATTTTTCAACTATATTAGGTTATTATTAATAAACTGAACTAAAAACAAACTCTTATGTCTACATATTTGTTTGAATCACCAACCTTTTTCAGTCTTACAGATATAAGGCTTGTAAGAATTGCAGTTTACGGCATTCCACAAACCAGAGCTTGACTGGATTTCCACACAATGACCAGCATTATTTGTCACCTGGGTTCTCCAGTTTGTGTAATCTACCACGGCATTATCAATCCACATCCAGTCACCTGTGTTACAAACAAACACACCCACACACACACACACACACACACACACAGTCAGATAATGCTTCTGATATAATTTTGATTCTTGTGGTTGTTTGGTTTAAGTGTGTTTCTAACCCATATAACTGCGATGCATGCCAATCCAGAATGATCTGACTCCGTCCTGCATGAGCTCCACATTTCGTTGAATGAAATGAGATTCTTTTGGATCCTCAATACTCACTAATGATCCTCCTAAAAGCAGAGAGAATACTTATGATATGATAAAACGAAAGATGTAAGTCACTGAAAGTAATGCTTTCAATCCCCATAACGAACCATTGCTTTACTCATTTAGTGGGTGTTTTGTCGCTCCTAATGCTTTAACACTTTTCAAAACATCATGACAAAAGAAATCTGGTAAATCGGTTGATATTATTTTGTAATATTTAGTGAACTATGTTTAAAAACAAATGATCTTGTACACTTAACAGAAAATAATGCCTACCTATTCTTATACATTCAACTGTGGCATGAGCCCAGTTCTCAGAGTTGGACATGAAGGCATAGCAGTGTCCTCTGAATGGGATCCAGGTTTTACGCTTCTTTGACTCAGGACAGTTCCCTGGCATCTGAGGTGGGTCTGTGGGAGCTATGTCTGTGGGACAGTGAAATTATGTTAGAATAAGAACTTCTCTTGAGCTTGCAGTGTGTAAACTTTGTAAGTTGTCAATTGTAAACTGATTATTATGTAAAGGATGTTTAAACAAACTCCAAATAACCTCTTTTTTTAATAAGCAATAAACAATGATTATACTATGTCAAGATAATGCCAAAGGGTCAATGTTTTATACTGTATTGTGTCAGTGTGAAATTTATAACCCAGACTCATTCTGAAAACGTACCCCTATATACAGTTCTGGAGAGTCCCAAATACATTCCAGGAGCTGTGTTTTTTGCAGATTTTGTTTTCGCGAGTCCACCAGAGGCCGCTTTGTACACTTTCTCAAATCTTATTTCTTTCGTGAGTGCCATTCGTGCCAGCTCTTCTTACATAAATCCACCAGAGGCTGCAGTTGACTGACTGACTGACTTACTGACCCACCCTCCTGTTTCCCTATACCCAACCAATAGTTTTTTTAAAAGCACCGACTAACCCACCCAACCACCCACTTCCCTAAACCCAACCGGCAGTGTTTTTAGAAGTTAAAAATGGCTCGTTTATGCTGCTTAATGTTGCAAACTGATATTTTCTTATTATATTATTCTACTTTGTCTGTTTAGTCATGCAAACACTTATTTGTAGAGCAAGTAGTTTGACCAATTCTGCCGTTTTTTTATTCCTTGTCATTTCCCCTATAGGCAACTGAATCAGTTCTAAAACAATTGCAAAAACCAGCACGCTTACACATTGAAAAATAAGGTCAATAATCAAACAACTGCAAGTGTGTTATTTTAATTACCTCATCTGTCAATATAATGTCAATGTATTGCAGAGCTATGCAAGAATATCAACATATCTACAGTATGCAGATGCTTTCTTAGGATTTGTAATAATTTCTTCAGTTAAATAGCATTTTGTCTCAGCATTCAATCTCCTTTTTAATGACCTTTTGAACATATTATATTTGTTGTGTGGTTATTTTGTTATTGAGAGAACAAGTGGTTTCATTTTACTGTAGCAGATGTGATTCATTAAGCATTTGTGTATGCCCACTACTAACTGGGGGTTGTAAAGAGGTGTATAAAAGGTCATCTGAGAATAGTGGAAGTTGCATCATCGTCCAGCTGACTCGCTGTGGTGGGTGTGTTGCTGCCATGCTTCTGGTATTTAGCGGCTGTTTAAGCCCTGTTCTCTTTCGTTTTAAAGTGTGTTTTGGGTTTAATTCCATTTTTGCTCTAGAAGACTGATGTCTGTTCGGCTGCTGTTGCACCATAGAGTGGCTGCTGCGGGCCATCGTGAGCTTAATGAAATCACGCTTCATATTGCTGAACTTTTCCTTGTGATGTTTGTTGACATTTCTCCGCGCTCCCGTGACTGCTGTCTTTTCAGTCGGTAAGTGGAGCCCTACTGCACATCGAACGGCTAGAAATAAAACTGATTTTTATATTTTTTTAATTAGTTATTAGTACGAACGCCTTGCTCTGCCGAAGGGGTGACTGGCATCTCGTGTAGCGGTATGTGAAACCTCTGTAATCCACTGTATTTGGAAGGTATGTAGGTTGATTGTGTTCTGTTTTATCATAGACTGCACTGTGGCTTGAGCGTGCCTTCTTTGGCACGTGCTAGTTGCTGCTGTTTTGTTTCTGATTGTTTTTTTTTTTTTTTGCTTTTGCATTAGTGTTTTGCTTTTTGCATATTTGTTCTCTTTGATTTCTTTATTTTGCATATTTGCTAAAAGGAAAAGTAAAATAAGTGTGTTGTCTTAAGGGCAGCTTTGCTTTGCTTCAATCGCTCATTTGTGGTGCTTTGTCCTGTTCTAACATTACGACCTTGTGCTTTAACTTTTTAATATACACTATTTGTGATATTGGCTGGTAGCTGCTCTCAGGGAGTCTTTTATTTTTGATGCCTCTGAGCTCATTTAATGTATGTGATTTTGGTATTTCGTTAATGTTTTGTCATTTTTCTAATTGTGGTTTTCTTGTTTCCTTAATAGTCAGGGGTCTCTAATACGGGTAGTCGGGTCATTGTGTGACGTGAAGTTGTTTTTCTATTAATTAGCCTTTTGCTCACTTTTGTGCATTGAAGTTCACTGTGTGGTGTTTTGAATCTAAAAGTGTGCACATGTGAATCTGTGGGTCATTTTTGGGCCCAGTGCCCAGCCTGCCTGACTGTGGTAAGCCCCAGCTCCTCTGGTTGGATGAGGATTTATTATTTTTTTTGTGATTGCCTTTTTTAAAAAGATTGCATGTGCCTGTCTTTTAATGTTTATGGTCCAAAGATAATTAAATTGTAATAAAAGAAGCCCTATTTTTCTATATCCACGTCTCATTGTTTTTGTCAGAGGTACGAACCTGAATTTTATGTCCCAGGTAATTTACTGGGTGGCATAGTCAAGATCTAATTGCAATAGTTTGTGTAAATTTGGCTTTAGTGTGCCAGTTATTGTGTTTGTCTTGCCACCAACAAAAAGCCTTATCCCCCCTTCGTGCTACATTACAATAAGGTTAAATTAATGCAGTTAATAACATAAACAAACAATGAACAATACACTCATTACAGTATTTGTTCATGTTAGTAATGTTTGTAATGAAAATACAGTTGTTCATTGTTAGATCATGTAAACTCATGGTGAACTAACTAATGTTAGCAAGCATGAGTTTTGATGTTAGTACAGCATTAGTAAATACTAAACTAATAAATGTACAAGTATTGTTCATTAATAATTCATGTTAACAAATAGATTAACTAACATTTACTAATGAAACCTTATTGTAAAGTGTGACTGAAACGGTCTACAATACATTTTTACGCATCACTAAGGGTCATTTACAGCAGTGTATATGACTTACTGTTGCTCTTCATCAGTATGATGCTGCAAAGCTATTTTCCGACTTCTATTTACATCTAAGCAAAGAATGAAAAAGAACTTTGCCCTGAGCATACTTGGTTCTGAATCATGCTCAGTTTCTTTTGTGTTGGATGTGCAGGAGTCTGAGCACAAGGAATAAGTTGCTTGATGCAGTACAGTTCATAACCACCAGTGTCACTCATTAACAAGGCTTTTTAAAATCTACAAACAGTATATAGCCTTTTAGATGACTAATTTAAAGGGCTTAATGTCAATACCTAATGAGGTTATGGCAGTATTTGTATTACTTGCAGAATGTTGTTGGAAATACCTGTGGATTGCTTGCAAAGGGAATAATATGTGTTGTTGCATGTAGCTGTCTTCCATCTGCCATCTGTGTCGATGTACACGCAAGCTAAATTGTTTTTGGGCTCTCCTGTTGCCCATCTACTATAGCTTAGAAGCCAATTGTCCACCCAACGGTACTGGCCACTTGTCTAAAGACAAAAAAAAAAAATACAAATAAATTATCGTTCTTGTCAACATAAATATTATTACTGTCAAACAATCAGTTAAAACCATAAACAATGATTAAAATCAAATTAAAGGCTGATGAAAATGTTAATCTCACTGTTAATCTTAAAATCAGGGTTGGAAGAATTACAGAATGCATTATTTAAAATACAATCTTTGTAAGTTACAAGAGTTAAATCCGTGGAAATGTTTGTAAAATAGATTTCTTTGCTACAATTTTTTTGAATGATGATTTTAAAAGTTTTGCAAAGGGCTTTAAAGGGTCACGAAACACCAAAACACATTTTTTGAGCTGTCAACAGTTGTATAAGTTTCCCACATTGCTAAAAACACTATTAGGACACATATATTTCACTAAATAGTAAAAATTGGTTGTTTTTGCATTTTTTTGAGCAAATTCGTACTTCCGGTTTAAAACAAATTTTTGAAGCTGCGGCCATGAGATTTTAGCGTGTATTCCAGCATGTAGACTGGACGTCTGTACATGGGAGTACCGTATTACGTCTTTGAGTGTGCTGCATTAATGCATGAGTAAGACATGGTTCAAACCAATCAGCACACTCTATTGTGTATGCGCTCCAACTTCATTAATGTGCATGATAGCTTCAAAGACTGTACCTGAAACAGTGTTCAGATGGCAGTGAGAGGCCACGTTGTGTTGCCAAAAGAAGCAGAAAAAGAATTGTTTGGAGATACGGGTTGTCAGTGTTGTTTTTATAATTTGCTGCAGTAAAGGTTTTGTTTTCATTTTCTCTCTATGAGAGCGCTGCTGGACTCACGTGTGGATCAGTGCATGCGATGCGCTGCGGAAATACGTTTGTACAGAACATATTTTTTTACCCGAGAGCTTTTCGCATCTGGAAATTGTGAAATCATGATTTGCTGCTCGTCTCCTTTAAAAAAATACACAGCTCCAGTATTTGTTGATTGTCCTGTCTCTACAGATTTGGTAAGTGTGTGCGATCAGTACCCTTTCTTTGTTCATTCAGATGGCAAAGTTATAGTTCGTATCATCAGCAGTATTCTTTCAGTGTTTGAAAACAGACCTTAGTCAAAATGATTTCTAAGTTACTTAGTTTATGTTAATACCACTACAATATTATGAACTGAAAAATCCGCTGTAAATGCTGCTTTCTGAGTGTAAACGTGAACACTGCAAGCAAACTATGGGCAATCATCGTGTTCAATTTTCGCCGCATTATGTGACAGGATTGTCTACACACACACAGCTTTCTGACCTACCGAGTGCATCTGAGTTACAGAGAAATGCATGGGTTTTTTACTCTTATACGACGTGCGGTATCAAACATTCCCCCGTCATTAAACAGTCACTGTCTTTCTCCCGTGTGTGTGTTTGCTTTTCCTCTGTGAAAATCAGCGCGTGCTCAAATGGAAACTCCCATTTTTATTCAAATCGTTTCCCCTTTTCCCTCCCCCAACACTCCCACCCAAACAGAGCTAGACACACCCACTTTCCTGTCTTTTCCAAACTAGAGGTGTGAAAACACCCTGCTGTTTTTTTTATACCAGGTTGCTGTTGAGACCGATCCACAGAGGCTCCTTAAGTTTGCTGACTGTAAGAATAGTGTAAGCCTGGCTGATGGAATTCCGCACACTGGCAAGATCAGCATCACTTGCTTTACACTGTCTCCTAGCTTCATCCCAACTCATTTTCTCCTTCTGCACCTTATAGGAATCATTTCCCAGTGTGAAAAAATGCTGTGGTGCTGCTGTAGTCACGGGACGTATGAGCTGAGTATCTGTAACATTAACGTCAAACACAGATTTCATACATTTAGACAAACAGACTAAGGGCACTTTAAAAATGTACTGTTAACGAGTACACTTCTGCTTGAATTAATGCATATTAGTGAGCCCATACTGTAAATCATTTAAAAGTAAATATTTCAGGTACAATGTGACCAATAATAAACTTTTGCCCTCTTACCTGTTTTTCTCTTGCAGATGAAACCTTGTTGATCTCCACACATTTGGACTTTCCACATACCTGTCATTTTTTCTGGGCTTCTGAGCATGACAACACAGTCATAGTTCTGAATGGAACAGAGATCAGCTAAGTTGACTCAACATCCAAAGCACACCAACCAACAAAACAATCATTTTCTGTAATTGTACAATGTAACAACCGCCACTTTGTAGTAGACATGAACTCATTAACTATTTACATACCCAGTATACACTCACCGGCCACTTTATCAGGTACACCTTACTAGTACCAGGTTGTACCGTCTATTGCGTTCAGAACTGCCTAATCTTTTGTGGCATGGATTCTACAAAGTACTGGAAATTTTTGAAAAAGATTTTGGTCCATTTTGACATGACAGCATCACACAGTTGCTGTAGATTTGTCGGCTGCACATATATGATGTGAATCTCCCATTCCCCCACATCCCAAAGGTGCTCTACTGGATTGAGATCTGGTGACTGTGGAGGCCATTTAAGTACAGTGAACTCATTGTCATGTTCAAGAAACCAGTCTGAGATGATTCACGCTTTATGACATGGAATGTTGTCCTGATGGAAGTAGGCATCAGATGATGGGTACACTGTGGTCACAAAGTGATGGACATGTTCAGCAACAACACTCAGGTAGGTTGTGGCATTGACAGGATTCTCCATTGGTAATAGGCCTAAGGTGTGTCAGGAAAATATCCCCCACACCATTAACCACCCCTAGCAGCCCGAACCGTTGATACAATGCAGGATGGATAGATGCTTTCATGTTTTTAACGTCAAATTCAGACACTAACATCCGAATGTCGCAGCAGAAATGAAGACTCATAGACCAGGATACGTTTTTCTTGTCTTCTATTATCCAATTTTGGTGAGCCTGTGCAAATTGTAGTCTCAGTTTCCTGTTTTTAGCTGACAGGAGTGGTGCCGAGTTGTCTTCTGCTGCTGTAGCCCATGTGCCTCAAGGTTGGACGTGTTGTGCATTAAGAGATGCTCTTGAATGTAACGAGTGGTTCTTTGAGTTACTGTTGTCTTTCTATCAGCTGGAGCCAGTCTGGCCATTCTCCTCTTACATCTGGCATCATCAGATGTAAGTGGCATTCGGTGGCATTTGCACCCACAGAACTGCTGCTCACTAGATAAAAACCCTAGACATGGTTGTGCGTGAAAAATCCCACTAGACCAGCAGTTTCTGAAATATTAAGACCAAACAGCCTTTTTGGTACCAACAACCATGCCACGTTCAAGTACACTTAAATCATGTTTCTTCCTCATTCTGGTGCTGTACCTAATAAAGTGGCCGGTGAGTGTACATCATCTAACCCAGGGGTGTCCAAACTCGGTCCTTGAGGGCCGGTGTCCTGCATAGTTTAGTTCCAACCTGCTTCAACACACCTACCAGGAAAATTCTTGTATATCTAGTAAGGGCTTATTTAGCTGCTTCTGGTTTGTTTTATTAAGGTTGAAGCTAAACTCTCCAGGACACTGGCCCTCCAGGGCCAAGATTCTAACCCATTCTTTCTCACATTCACTAAACATATCTAACTGACAATGATGTGGATCTGTTAGTGTCACAAAGTTAGTTGAATTTTTTGGACCTCAGTCAGTGCCCAGGATATACATATCCTATAAGGGACCACTTGACAATTCTATGGATTTATTAGGGATGGTTTTTAATAAAAAATAAATATACGGTATATAGAGAGCCTTTGGCTTTATGACATAAATTTTTTTTTTTTTTAATTGTAAATTTTTTTTACCCTCTAAAACTTTACTTTTATTTCTTTACGTAATTGTTTGATCTCCATTTACAAACCAATTTGTTGTCAAATTGCTAATAGTTCCTGTGCCACCTGGTGGTAAATTTAATGAACGTTGTTTACATGATGGATATTCATTTTCTGGGACCTTTACAGGATGGCTTAAGTGCTGAAGCAGGTATACCATGATGCATTCAGTAAGAGGAGGAAGATACACAGCGAAATAATATCATTCGTTTGTTTTGAATTTAATTGTAAATGCTACATTGACATCAGATAGGCAGTGTAATTATAAACTAATGGTATTAGCTACATAAGGATATAGTCAAATTTTTGATATTCACTGTTTATATGCATGCATAGCCTGCAAAAAAGTATTAAAAGTTTTTGTAAATTTTAAAAATAATATTAAAAATACATATGCTTTAGATTATGTAAAATGATCAGCTGTAGCCTTTAGTTATTATATGATTTCAAAGAGATTGACATATTGTTATGAATTTATAGATTAAGTTAAATTCAGAGGTTTATAAAATATATTTTATTATTTTTAATGCACTTAAATACAGCTATGTACATCCAAATTGCTTTACAATCATATCAGGGTCCCTCTTAGAAGTAATTAGCATATAAATCTGATTAAAATATGAAACACAAAACAATATTAGTTTAAATATATGAGCATGTATATTTGTAATTAATGGTAATATCAATTAACAGCATTTTAAAAACATTATTGACATTAAGGTCCATGAAATAAAATTGCATGTGACCACACAATGTTCACAAAAATGACTTAGAATAGAACCAGACAAATCATTAATCTGCCTGTCAATCTATTGTCTTTGCATTTAAACTGTACCTTATTTCTCTTGGTTTGCAGTGTCCTCTACTCACTGGTACCAGTAGTCAAACTAAAGCCCCTACTATGGATACCTACAGTGTTTGTCAGTAAAATGGTGTGAATACTTGCCTCTGATCCAAATTCATACATCCTGGATGGCCCATCTGGCATTGATGAGGGGACACCCTTGGCCCAGTTTGTGTAGCTGACACCTTTACCATCAGTCCACAGAAATCTCATCTCCCAGTTGACATCATTAAAACCAATCCATATGTCATCAACTGAATCAAGCATTAACGTAGTAAGGAATGCTGCAAACAGAATCAGAAGGTCAAAGTTGTTTACGTTTACACAAGTATCTGATATTATTGAACGCAATATTTGTTTACATGCATACGCTTGCATATCAAAGCTGTGAGAGAAACATGACCATCTGCCTTGCTACCTTGCTGCTTGCTCAATTATTTATATTACACACACGATATGGCAGAGTTTCTCAAACTTGTTTCTTTAACAATGTACATTTGCATGCCTCTTTTGTGCAGTGATGCACATACTGTACATATCAGGTCTTCAAAAATCCTCAGATCAAATGTTTCAAGCAGACTAATTTGTGCAAGGAACAGAAATTTTGACCTTATTGAAATTATTGGTTTTCCCAGAGACGGGTTGCGGCTGGAAGGGCATCCGCTGTGTAAAAACTTGCTGGATAAGTTGGCGGTTCATTCCACTGTGGTGAAACCGGATTAATAAAGGGACTAAGCCGACAAGAAAATGAATGAATGATGAGAAATTATTGGATGGGCGATTAATTAAAAGCAATTTCATGCAATTTCTTTTCAGTATGCTTTCACATGCTTACAGCTTTCAGCAGTATTTACTACATAGAACTGTGGAATGCACTATGCAAAATCACGTTCAAAATTGATTTATTCAGATAATAATGAAATCTATAAGAATCTTAGAAATCTTATAATGGCAGATGTCTATGTAACTTTTCAGTGAATTTTGGTGAAATATATGTGTATATCCCACTTTTTTTTTTTTCCCTATTTAACCCTGTACTGCACGGTAAAACTATATGGCAACATGATACTTATGTTCATTTCCCTGCGACTGTTTCTTTAAGACCAACTTAGTTTTTTTTTTGTTGGAAAGAGAAGACCTTAGTGTAGCCAATGATGTGCTTTGGTTAAGTCACATGACATGCAGTGTTTTTCTGTAGCGCGATTTCTTACAGACTGGCGTTTATTGTGAGTAGTTGCTCAATGCAAATGTAAACGTCAATAAAAACAAAGGATCAAATTATGTCAGAGCCACAAAAAAATCTGAGACATCACCTCTAGTAGGTTATGATGACATATTCACACTCAAATGTTTTTAATCAAATTAGATTTTTGTAAATCAATCAAATGTATGTGTTGCCAAATGGCAACACTGGGCAATAGTGGAACATGCAATATTGCAATGGATTAGCTAGCTAGCAAGGTCAGCTGTGAACATTTAAGTTGTAACAACAACAACATGAAAGATAGTATATAATGTTGATTAGTCATGTGTTAATGGCAACACACTTTTGACACATTTTAGATTAAACAAATATGAACAGCAACATATATAACAACGGTGGGTGTGACGATTCTCTTTAAACAAGTATAACTCCAACCTTTTGGTACAATACTGTTGTGCTAGGTAATCTCAAGAAAGGTTCCTAAAAAAATGTATGGTAGAGTTCGCTATTTGGGTTTTTCTGACAGGGAAGTGGGGTATATCTGAGTATATCTTAGTGGGGAAAAAAAACAATACAGTATGTGTAACCAGCTATTGACTCAGAATCCCCAATCTGGTTTCATGATTTGCTTTAAAGCAACAATGGAAAAAGCTTTAGAGTTGTTCACTGAATTTGCTCTGGTTTTGCTCTGTTTAAATGATAATCCATATTTTTCAAAACCAGGAAACTATGAGTAATATGTACACATATAGACACACAAAACTAGCAAACAAATAAAATAGCTTTCACATCTTACACAGCACATGTAAACACAATTGGTCCTTTTAAATGCTATTTTATTAAGCAGCTTTCTCATATTAACCAAGGTTTTGGTGCACATGTAAGGTATAAAATAAATTAAATGCTTACCCTGCTCTTCATGAGTCAGAATGGACACCAGATTGCCTCCATGTGAGATGCAGAGGTTTCGAGCATCATGCCATGTCATCTTATTCTGAAAAAGCTTGTAACACTTAAAAAAAAAAAAGAGTTTATTATTGCCTTTTCTGACTAAGCTTACTTTAAATAACATCTATCCATGTAGTTTATATATGCAAATTGAAGATAAACGGTTTGTTTGATAGTAGCTGTGGGTTCACAAGAATGTAATATTATTATTATTATTATTATTATTATTATTATTATTATTATTATTATTATTATTATTTGTAATTGGTTAAAACTAAAAGTATTAAATCTGAAAGTACCAAGTTGATTTTTGGCAGTGCAAAGTACATGAAAGTTTTCGGCAACTTTTTCCCTGTGCAAATTTTGTGTGGTCCAGGAAATGTCACTCACGCTTCCTTGAAAAATGGTCCATTCTGGAGAACAGCCTCCTGGTCGCACAGTAGGTAAGGGCAAGGTTGAATTGATAAAGTTACTACTTCTTTTGCAGATAGATGGCAATGGGACACCACAGTTTATATCATTCCAGAACCCTTTAAAACAAAACATATAGATATTTTAAAAACAGTAAATATTATAGATATTACAAATTATAGATATAACATATCAGTGATTCTCAAACTTTTTGAGATTTGATAATCAAATCAAGGGGCAGACTTTACCATTATTACCACAGTGGTTTTTTTTTCTCCAAACATTCACTGAAACGAGCATCAGAATGTTTATGGTGTCATTAGTGTATGGCAGTGGTTCTCAAACCTTTTTCATCAAGTACCACCTCAGAAAAAAAATTGTCTCTCTAAGTACCACCAACATGAGCAGTATTGAAATACAATAGCGTAGTAGGCCCAGTAAAACAGCTACACCTCTGCACAGTTAAAAAAAAACATGGCTGATTACCTCAGAAATATAGGCTATATGTCATATATGGCATATTATGTATATCATTTTTGATACATTTTTACATGTGTGTAGCATGTACATGACATATTTCACTCCTCCGCGTACCACTAGAAGGAAGCCTGCATAAAAGTAGTGGTACACGTACCACAGTTTGAGAACCACTGGTGTATGGTGAAGACTGAGTTGAACAATGAAGCACTAAAATTAGCAGTCCTTCTGATCAATGTAACATTATTACTGTAACACTTGAAGAGAACCCAGCACTATAGTGAAAACATCTCACTGCAAAACAGTGCAGATGTCTCTTTATGGCCAGAGGAAAATTGAAAGCCTGGTTGCTCCCATAGTTCTCCATTTCCGTTATTTGCAAAGTTTTTCATTTTCATTTGCATTGAACTAAACTAAATTAAACTGAACTGAACTTCAACAGTGACATTAGTATTAAACTGAACTGAATTATTTTAAATTTTAACTACTCTCCTGCCTGATATGCTGGAATGTCCCACAATCTGAAATATTTTGTTAATGGCTTTCTATTCTTTTTTTTTTCAATGCTGTTAAACTGTTTTGACACAATCTGTGAAGCATTTTTTAAAGAAAATTATTAAAGCACATAGAAATTAAGTATAAACTTGTGGATTCTTGTAATTTGCACAGTTAATGTTTACAAACAGCAGTTCACACATAGCAAAATTTCTTTGGCCAAGCTTTTGCTTGACCCACATGTTACAGTGAATTACGGTACATGACTGGACCAAGTCTGGCTTCCATATAAGGGCCAAACATGGACCATATCTGGGCCTAGTCTCAGCCAAGTTAATTATCCATAACTGCGCCTGAACTGGGCCAGCTATGAACCATGTTTGGCCATTGTCTGGAGGCCATTTTTGCTGTGTCACGACTGCAATGAAATTGATAAACCCATGAAGAATTGCGCTTTAGGCAATAATAGTTTAAGCAATAATAAAATAAGTTAATAACGATGATGGTTAGTAATCATTAACAATAATATAATTTGTAAAATAATAATTTGATTAATAAATCATATGTAATGTAGGTTCAATTCAGTTATTTTGCAACATGCAGGAAACATCAGATTAATTAATCTTGATTGTTTCCTAGATTAAAATGAAGGCATTAGAAGATTTTAACAGCAAGATGGAAATGACTTTGTGCATCAAAACATTTCTTTACTCATAAAATAATTAAAATGTAATTTAAATGTGGGTCATGACAGACCAAACTTATGTGGCCCACATGTAAATTTTTAACATCTGGGCCAAATACTACATTTGACATCTGGCCCATGTCTTGCATGCCGCCTTAAAGACAGTACCACCTCTGTCAAACCTGGGCCATGTTTCGCCTGCATGCTGTATTCCAGTGCTGGACAAATGTCTGCTGTGCCAGCTTTATGCCAAATCTGGGCCAGAATTCTTTGCTACCAATTATTACTTGAAGTAATACAATGACACATGTAGAACAGAGAATAGATTAAGTCATGTAGTGTGAAAAAAAGACTGTGTTATGTGCTTTTGGTAACCAAGTTTTACCTGTTTGGTAACAATGAATTGGACACTCAGCTAATTGGGGGTGTGTTTAATAACCACAATTCACAGGTTGAAACCCGCTGCATTAAGCTGCAGTCACAAGATAACACCAGGTCCCTTATTGAAATCCTTGGGGATATCTTCCTGGCAAACCTGTAGCATGGACATTAAATGCAAGGCTAAACCACCTGACTGGCAGTCATTTGTAATTTGCTGACCAGGGGTAGTCAGGAAGGCAGCAAGGCAGAGTTAGTGTATGCACCATTGGAGGAATGCCAGGGTAACACTAATTCACGGTGCCCTCAATGCTGTTGAATTCAGTGGCCATCGAATAGTATGCACGATGGGTCATGGCATTACATATTGGTCAGAAGATGCAGTAAATTAAAGTACACAAACATAGTGTGTTAAATAGATGTTGTGAGTCAGTGGCATTGAGCTAAGCAATCAAATTAGGACACACTTTTTTTTTACTTTAAGGTATAAAAGTGAAATTAGATAGATATGCTGATATACTATACAAGTTCTTACCCATACTCTTGTAAATGGTTACACAGTTCTCATCGTTGTTGGCAAAATTTGGTTCATTTTGATCCCATGACGTATATACAACAGGCGAACCATCCACCCAGCTACAAAAAGAAAGAAAATCCTTGTTATAAATTCAGCAAAAATAGATTAAAAGTACACAACAACTTGGTAATGAAGCTAAATATATGTTGCATAATAACTAGAATTATTACAGTTTGTTCAGCTTCAATCCAAGTTTACTCACTTAAATGATTTATCCAAATTCACTATCATCCCAATGTAGTACTGATTTTCGGAACCCCTGGATATCTGTAAAACAGAGTCCCAGAGCCATTCTGAAATATTTGTGCAATACATTACAATAATTCAGTTGTGTTTTCCATGTGAGCTAGTCGTTGTTATCATACACTGTCAATCATTGTGTAGTGTAGCCTTTGTTTAAGATTTTTCTTTTTTTAAAGCAAAATAAAGAAATCAATAAATATTGCTCAAACAATGAGTGGCATTGCTGTGAAAATGTAATACATTACAATCAAATGTCAATTTTTAAAAGTAAAAAAATGTGCATACATATTATTGTACAATATTTTAAAGCATAAGATTTAAGCATGAGGCTTAAAATTGTAATATACAGCATAACTTTTTTAGGAAAATATAGTGGAGAAGAGATAGCAATTTTTTAAATTTCAGGTTTACTGCTTAGTCCTCTTTGAAGTTTTCCTAAAATAACGCTCAGGTTACAGAAGTAACCCTTGTTCCCCGAGGAGGGGAACGGAAATGCTATTAGTGGATTTGATTTAAGGAAAATCCACGAATTGGGAGGATTTGGTTCAGAAGCTGCTTGTCTGAAAGAGTATTGAACGGGCCAATGTATGCCAATGAATTGGCAGCGTAAGCTTTCGCAGATATGCTTCATTGCCAATTAACCCAGCATATAAGCACACGTGGAGCAAGCAGACGCCATCCTTTTTTAAGCTGAAGAGACTTACTTACAGCTAAGGGACAGTCATTATGGCGATGGTAAATAGCATTTCCGTTCCTCTCCTCGGGGAGCGAGGGTTACTTCCGTAACCTGAGCATTCCCCTTCGGGTGGGGAACTCCAATGCTATTAGTGAATTTGATTTTAGGAAAATCCACGAATTGGGAGAACTATGGAAAACGTTCGAGGTTACAGAAGCAACCCTTCATTCCCCGAGGAGGGGAACGGAAGTGCCATAGAGTGGATTAATTGAATCCACGAATGGGAGATTCGGATCAGAAGCTGCTTGTCTGGAGAGTTATTGAACGGGCCAATGAATGAAATTAATTGGCAGCGTAAGCTTGAAGCCAGCAGACGCTATCCTTTTAAGCTGAAGAGACTTTCAAACAGCTAAGGGACAGTCATTATGGCGACGGAGTATGGCACTTCCGTTCCCCTCCTCGGGGAACGAAGGGTTACTTCTGTAACCTCGAACGTTCCCCTTCGGTTGGGGAACTTCAGTGCCATAGAGTGGATTAATTGAATCCACGAATGGGAGAAGTATGGAAAGCGCCATAATGACTGCACCTTACCAACGCCCCCGATGAGGGGATAGTCAAGCAAGCGTGACGCACCCACATCATGGGAGGCACGGTCCTCCAACGTGTCCCTGGCCCTAATTTATCCTAATTCAACAGAAGTTTTATGGATTTAGATATATTTTTTGGGAAGTTGTGAGCATCTAGATAATTCGAGGAAAATACGACAGTACGTTGGGAAGCGTGCAATCCCGATAGGGAGGACGCTGCGGAAGGCCATCCGTTACCCAAGGGGGGGATAAATGGCAGAATTTACATATGGACTAGCCCTAAAAAGGGGGAGTACGCATAGCAAAAGAGTGGTTAGCGGAGAGGGAAGACACGGGTCCGCCCAGGGGGGGGACTTAACCATGGCGGAATAAGCATATGGGATCGCCTAGTGGGGATCACGCATAGCAGGCACCTATACCCAAAACGCGGGCTGACCAGCGGGCAGACCTACAACGTAGTGGGCCAGCTAGTGACTCCTCCGCTGAGTCAGTGCTGGGGGCCATGGAGGAATCTGCAGGGCTCACCTGACAGGGAACTTACTGACAGATAAAAAGGCGCACGTATCTCCGTGTTAGGGAGAATGGTGCAGCAAGCGTGTTTCAACACCTTCACCGAGTTGTTTCCTCAATCACCAAGGGTTACCTAATACCATTGAGGAAACCGGCTCCACTCGCAGATTGTAAAACCTTGCAAATGTGTTGGGTGTCGCCCAGCCCGCAGCTCTGTAAGAGGCGCTGTGTGCCCATGCCCAAGAGGGTGCGATGCTCCGAGTGGAGTGCACACGCACTCTCAGGGGACACGGCTTACCTCGGCTCTGAAGCGAGAGAATGGCATCCACAAACCAGTGGGAAATCTTAGTTTCGATACGGACTTCTCTGCTGCCGACCGCCATAATAGACGAAGAGCTGCTCAGATGATCTAAACTCAGAGAGTGGCCCAGATAATACGCAAGGCGCGACATGGAAAAAAAAAAGATAGGACTAGGTCTGCCTCCTCCAGGGGCAGCGCTTGCAGGCTCACTACCTGGGGCACATACTGTATCGCGGGCAAGTTCTCAGGACGTGAGAGAAGCCAGCCGAATTACAGGCACGAGCCACTGACCAAAAAATGCCTGATGAGGTTATGCGTTCCCAAGGTGCTGCCAGCCACTGCGTCATGAGAGCGGAGATGGCAGCCACTTCTCTGCGAGAGACGCCCCATTCAGTGAATAGACTCCACTTCAGGGCATAGGCGCGCTCGGGGAGGGGGCTCTAGCCCGAGTGGCGGTATTAGCCACCGCAATCGGTAGGTTACCTAAGTCTTCCTCGCGTCTAAGGACCACCTGGAAGTTCCAAAGATCGGCGAGGGTGCCAGATGGGCCCTGTTCCTGAGAGATTAAGTGCTCTCTTAAGGGGAACTGCCAAGGGAGGGCCATCGCGAAGAGGGAGAGCTCTGACATCCAGGTCTGGTTGAGCCAGAGGGGCGCAACCAGCAACCTGTTCCTCGTCCTCCCAAGCTTGCACAGTAACAGCGCGAGCAGGCATTTGCCCCGAGGCGAGCTGTGAGCCAGTGCATCCGTGCCAAAAGCCCTCGGTCAGGGCAAAAAACAACTGGCAATGAGCGATCTCGGGGGAAGCAACAGATATTTCCAGAATCGCGCCCATATCAGCTGAACAGACTCGGGGTGGAGTCTCCATTCTCCAGGACATAAAGGCTGCCGTGAGAGCGCATCGGCTGCACGGTTGTGCTTGCCTGAATGTGAATGGCGTGCAGCGATAAAATAGTTTCAGTGGGACCACTATTTTGCTGTCAAGCTCTCTCAGACAGTACAGCATCAGCTGAGCGCGCTCTCCCGAGAGGCACGCTACCATGGTGACCGAGTCCAGTTCCAGCCCGAGAGAAGAGATCCTCCGCGGGCTTGGTGAGGACCTGCGGAGACAGAGAGAGCCTGAAGGGGAGGACTTTGTATTGCCAAGCTCGACATTCAAACGCAAACCGCGGAAACTGACGGTGGCGAGGAAGAGTGGAGACATGGAAATACGCGTCCATCAGGTCTAATGCTGCAGACCAACCCAGAGGACGAACGCACCAAAGGATGAGCTTCTGCGTGAGCATTCTGAACGGCAGCTTGTGCAGACAGCGGTTCAAAACGCCCAGATCTGGGATTGGCTGTGACCCACCACTCTTTTGGGCACGATGAAATGCGGGCTGTGAAACCCGCTCTCCATCTCGGCTGGAGGGAGCGGCTCGATTGCATCCTTTGCCAGGAGGGCAGCAATCTCCTCTCGCAAGACAGGGGTGGACAGAGGGCTGACCCTGGTGAATACACACCCGTGAACTTGGGAGGCCGTTTCGCGAACTGAATCGCATAGCCGAGTCTGATTGTGCGTATGAGCCACCGCGAAGGGCTGGCCCACGCTAACCAGGCAGGCAGAGCTCTCGCTAATGGACCCATCGCTACAATCGCTGACGTACCAGCAGTGGGGCAGCGCGGAGTGGGTGTGCTGATCCTGGAAGCGCGAGGGTCCCGCGGAAGAGCTGGAGGTGAGAGATTTGCTCTCACTCCGCACCCCAGCTCCGGAGGGGAGGCTTGAGGGGTGGGAGAAAGGAGACCATCCTCCCAGTGCTCGTGAGCCACCGGCAAAACGCACCGAACCTGCGAGCTAGAGAGCACAGTGTCTCAGACTGGCAGATTTCGGGCTGTCAAATCCGGGGAAGTGAAAAAGTGCTCTTTCATTGATGTTTTCATGGCAGTAAAAAGTGCTGTTGGAAATGGGGCCCCACCCTCCAGCGGGGAAAGAGCAAGTTTCCTCTTCTCCAGATGGCCTCTCCCAGGGACGCTTCGCGGTCCGTTGCCAGACTTAGCGGCGTTCTGGGCAGGGGGGCTGCCTGCTTCCGAGGTGCTCGACGCGCTCGCTTTGCCAGAGGCGTGTGCGGGGGCGGTGCAGCTATGAATGGTACGGTGGGTGGAGCGGGCTTACGACCCCGCGGAAGGTGACATCACCCATCAGACTGCTCTCTCACGGCCTTGAATTTCTGGGTGAATTCACAGTCAGTGTCGCCGAACAGGCCAGCTTGGGATATGGGGAAGTCAAGAAAGCAGACTTAGTCGACTTTATATCCAAGTGAACAGCCAAGTTTTAGCCAGGAATGGCGCTCCTGGACCACTAGTGTGGACATCGTCCTCCCCAATGCACACGCAGCGGACTTAGAAGTCCGAAGAGCTTAGTCGGCTGCGGTGCGAAGCTCATAAGCCTGGGTTGGACCCACCCTTGTGCAGCTCGGCCAGCGCCTGCGCTTGGTAGCGCTGGTAGGTGGCTATCGCGTGCAAGGCGGAAGCAGCCTGGCCCGCAGCCTTGTAAGCTCTAGCTCTGAGGGAGGCAGATAACTTACAGGCTTTGGATGGGAGACGAGGCAGACCCCATCAATAAGAGGCGCCGCGCGGACAAAGACTGACCGCAATCGCGTGCTCAACCTGAGGAATCGCCACATACCCCCTGGCCGCTCCACCGTCAAGAGTGGTGAGGGTGGAGGGACACGCAGCATTTGCAAAGAATTGTGCCCTTCAAGACCGCGTGAGCCTACTGTGCACCTCTGGGAAGGGGACGAGAGGCTTTGAAGGCTTTGCCCTCTGGTCCTCTACGTAGCACCGATCTAGTCGGTCCAGCCGCGGAGCTGGGGGATAAACCATCTCCAAACCATGACCGAAGCAGACCGGGAAAGCACGGCTAACATGTCCGTTTCAGGATCCGTTTTGACAGCGCTCACCTGCCCGGAGGGGGTGAGCGGGTCTGGATCATCATCGGACCATGAAAGCCCACCCTCCGATGCCGCGGTGGACGTCTGATCTCCGGTGTCATCGAGTGTAAGGGCTACCATCTGTTAGACGGATTGCTTCCCCCGCCCAAAGCTTGGATGGAGCGCTTGGAGGAGCGGGAGGTCCGCGGGCCCGTGAGCAATGGATTATCTCTCGCTGAAACCCTCAGATCTTTTACACACATTTCGCCAATTACCTATTTTTTAAAGCACAGTATAACATCTTGAATAATTACATACTGTATTTGAAGAACACCGATAAAAAAATTACAGAATACTTTCAGATTCCTCACAGTCACTGGTGTGAATCTGGCTCCTGGTGGTAATTTTATTTAAACTACCTGATACCTGATAAACCCTATATAAACATTCCTGTCAACCCTCCCGTTTTCCAGGGATTCTCCCATATTTTAGTTATATCCCATTATCATCCCATAAAAGTCTTTTCCCATATTTCTCCCGTATTTTCAGTCTTTCTCTGAAGAGTCGAAAATAAACCGATCCTCCCTTTACGCAACCCTTAGTGCCGAACCACAAGGGGCCACCCCTTGCTCTTAAAACATGAGCCTGTTCTGTGCTTTTGCTTTGTTTAGGCATGAAAACACTTTGAAATAAATATAAAAACGGTGGGATTCCCTTTCTTTTTCATTACAGGTGCCATCTCCCCTTCATATGCAATCCTCAAAACAGTCATGTAGCGGTGCATGATTGTCAGCTGACGCGCTTCATAGTGATAAATAGACGCTGTTTCCCAAATGGATTCTGTACACACAATCCCTTGTAATGGTGGGCATATCCCTTATTTTAATATCACAATGTTGACAGGTATGTATATAAATGCCCCAACTTTCTAGATTTCTGTCCGCAACAACAACAATGAAAGCAAAAAAGTATGTGATTATCTGTCATAATTCACTTAATAGTCTGATTTACCTGCTTCCATACAAACTTCCTCTCTGTTTGTCCAGTAATGACAACAAGATCCCCATTATTCTTTTTGCAGAACGAGCGAGCATCTTCCATAGGTAGGGACTCTTCGTTGATGAAGTACTGGCTATCGTTGTACTGAATCCAACCATCAGATGTCTTGTTATATTCCACTGCAGAAATAACAAAATATTAATATATATATAAATATATATATATACACACAGTTGAAGTCAGAATTATTAGCCCCCCTTTGATTTTTTTTTCTTTTTTAAATATTTTGCAAATTATTTTTAACAGAGCAAAGAACTTTTCACTTTAAGTCTGATAATATTTTTTAAAGAAAGTCTTATTTGTTTTGTCAACTAGAATAAAAGCAGTTTTAAATTTTTTAAAAGCCATTTTAAGGTCAAAATTGTTAGCCTCTTTAAGCTAGATTTTTTTTTTCATTGTCTACAGAACAAACCATCGTTATACAATAACTTACCTAATTACCCAACCCAACCCAAGCCTAAGTAATTACCTAATTACCCAACCCAAGCCTAGGTAACCAAACAAACCTAGTTAAGCCTTTAAATGACACTTTAGGCTGTATAGAAGTGTTTTAAAAAAACATCTTTTCAAATATTATTTACTGTTATCATGGCAAAGATAAAATAAATCAGTTATTAGAGATGAGTTATTAAAACTATTATGTTTAGAAATGTGTTAAAAAATCTTCTCTCCACTAAACAGAAATTGGGGGTAACATAAACAGGGGGCGAATAATATATATATGTAGTTTAACTTTTGATATACCCCATATGGCCAGTAAACAATTAATTACTTTGAATCAGACCATATATATATATATATATATATATATATATATATATATATATATATATATATATATATATAGGGCTAAAAACTGCTAACGGCTTCTCTGAAGGCAGCAATGACTGTATGTAGTCACAGTAATTCATATATGAATTCTTGGAAGATTCCAAATCTTTCAAAAACTCCCCTTAAAAAAAAAAAAAAACATTGGCTTATTTTAAAGTGACTCATCTGAAAATGTGTACAATTTGCATTACAACATTTATTTATTTATTTATTTATTTATTTATTTATTTATTTATTTATTTATTTATTTATTTATTTATTTATATCTTTTTTTCCAAAATATTTTGAAGAATTTAACATTTGAAAATAAAATGAATAAGGTATCTTATCTTGAATGAATATTGAAACTACTGTGACCTTACCTTGGGTTACGGTAGTTGGTGGAGATTTTGGAGTTGTACCTATTGAACAAACAATAAACAACATTATTGTGAAGGCATTAAATGCATGTGCACCTTATGAGTAGTTAGTTACATTAGAATATAAAACAAAACTGCATATAATAACCCTAAAATACATTATTCATAGCAACCAACCATTGTTTTCAAAGAAAAAAAAAAAAGACGTTCAACATCATCTTAAAAAAAAAGTTCAACATCATCTTAATTTGTCTATGTTTCAGACACAAGCCCAGTTATTCACATACACCAGAGTCAGCAAAAAATGAAAATACAAAACTAATGAGATTAAGTAACTTATTACTGGCAAAGACATTGACAAATGTTCCCTGAACATGTTCATTCAGTACAGTTCAATAGCAAAAGACACTAACTGGGGTAACAGACTGATTCAACAAACGTCCTGTTGTTGCTGGTTCTCAGAAATTGATAGGTGTATCAATTTAAATCATATAGCTTTTGTTACTAATTGAATATAAAATATAAACACTGTATACACAGTATTGTGCAAAAGGCTTTGGCCACCATTAGATAATTTTTTGTTAGCTAATGTATAATGACCACACCCACACACGCACGCACGCACGCACACACACACACACACACACACACACACACACACACACACACATTCTTTTCATACTGCAGGGGAGTGAACAATTTCAGACTTGATATACCCTTATTCATACCATGATAAACCCTTGTAGTTAAACATATACACAACAACAAATTCAAATGCAATGATGCCTGGTCATAAAAAAGACAATACAGAGTTGCAAACTATCTGTACAAAGTAACAGATGCAAAACAGAGAGCCACCTTGAACCAAGCTCAGAGTAGAGATGGACTGCCCCATGCTACCATCAAAACACCATTGAGACAGAGCTGCACTTTATAAAAGAATGTTCAAAAGAACATTTTATGAGAAATAAAAACTGAATTTAATTATTGAGACCTTCAATATGTTAAACTGGCAAGCATTCAATCTGACAATCCCCCTTCCTCTTAAGCAATAACAGGAACCTCACTTTTATAAACTTAAGTGGAAACACATACTGAAGTGACATTTCTGGAAGATGATATTTTGGTAAATAATACCAGGAATCTTTCAGAATCGCTTCCCAAAGAGCTTTAATCTTGGGCTATTTTTTCTTTCTTCGCTATTCAGGTGATCCTACAGTATACTACCTCTGTTACATTCAGTTCTGAACTCTGAACTCTGAGGCCAGTGTTATGAGCAATGTTGGGGGTTAACTAGTTACATGTAATGGCGTTACTTAATTTAATTACAAATAAATGGAACAGTAATTCGTTAGTTACTGAGAAAAAAAATGTGTAAATAAATTACAGTTACTTATGAAAATTTTAAGATTACAATGGGGTTACATCTAAAAATATTCTTTAAACATTTGAGATATGTTGCATAATATTAATCTGGCATTAATTTAAGGCAAGCTTAGATTTGCCCACCTGTCAGGTTTTAGACCATAAGGGGCACATCATGTGTTTTAGGATATAACTCAGGTTTTTGAACACAATTCGTTATTGTTGTTCATTTATTCGTTTGCTGAAAATTAGAACTGAATTTAGAAATAGTTGTGAAACGAATATTTGCGCTTAACAAACGAAATTAATTATTTATAGACTAATTGATGTCTGTGCGTAAAGGTTTCCCTATCTAAGAGCGATAGTGAAAGTGATCAATTTTTTTTTAATTCTCACGCAGTAGATGCTCTGTTTAACAGTTTTCTGTAAAAAAAAAAAAAAACTGTTAAATGTTAACTGTTTGCTAGTGAAATGCTCAGTTTTTCCACTTAGACTTACTTTACGTCCTGTAAATAGCGAATGCGCTTATGGTGCGATGCAGCTGGGTCTTAAAGGGAATGGGAGATGAGACTCTAATTGGTTTATTCTCAAAACACACCTATAACTCATTAAGAAAATAAACTCAACCCTTTTAGACCATGTGCCAAGGCGCAAAGCAGATTTTCCTGTCCTTAAATTAGCAAAAATGCGTTCTGACATGCCCTGAAAGCGTTTGCGCCCTGCGTTTTGCACTCTGCGCATGGACCGTCAAAATAGAGCCCATTATCTTTAACATAAAAATACTTGCAGTAGCTGGATTGAAACACACCTTTTCTCCACAGCACATAAAAAAATGTGACTTTTAACAATAATTGTATTTATCAAAATTAATTTTATTTGCATAATATACTGCACAGATTCCACCCTACTTCCCACATGGGTAAAGTAGACAAAGTAAATAGAGACAAAACTGCAAACTCATGTGCAAAGCAGAATGTGAAAGCAGAATCCATGACATGTTAGCCAATTTAGAAATCCTGGCTGAATCCATTTTTAAGTCTCAAATAGAGGACATGTCCGGGAAAAAGAGAATGTATTGTCACCCTAAATAATGAGCTGGGTCAGTCTATTTAGTAAAAGGCTTTTCTTTGTGTGTCCTCACGCTCATCTCAAAGCTACTACCAAAGTCAGATTTCAAGCGCATCTCTGAAGTCTGAAGCAGCAGAGCACCCAAGTCTGTGGAGTTTCTAACGCACACAGAACCGGGCCACTGAGGTAAAGTCTTATATGTGGGAAGGGCTGGTGTTGAATTGGGTATCACACTAGAAGAACCATGATATGCCATGACCGATTTGTAAAGAAAATGTTTAAAAACAGGCTCGCATGGTGTGCGTTCGTCGCCATTCAGTGCGTTGCTTAGTGGCAGCATATGCAAAACAAAGTAACTTAAAGATCGCTTGACGTGAACCTGTAGAGCAGGGATGTCAAACTCAATTCCTGGAGGGCCGCAGCCCTGCACAGTTAGGTTCCAACCCTGCTTTAACACACTTACCTGTAGGTTTCAAACAAGCCTGAAGGACTCAATTAGTTCGATCAGGTGTGTTTAATTAGGGTTGAAACTAAACTGTGCAGGGCTCTGGCCCTTTAGGAATTGAGTTTGACATCCCTGCTGTAGAGATTTAAGACATAACTTAGTTTGAAGAGCATGTTTGATCTTAAAAGGACTTTGCTAGCAAGCAGTGTTGTGATCACATGGGCTTTGCACGCTGGCTCTGGACGCTGCTGGACAGAATAGCTGTAACGGAGTTTAGAGTGAATCGGACTGCTTATATTGTAGATTTTTAACAAAGTCTGATATATTTTTTGGACTAATATCGGACGAATTTCCTATATCAATACCGGATCAGGACATCCCTATATATGGTCATGATGACATGAAGCCTATATTTATGAAGGTCCTTTCAATTATGACCCAAAGCACATGACCATAGCTGAGAGTAGAAACATAGATTGACCAGTAAATCCAAAGCTTTGCCTTTCGGCTGAGCTCCTTCTTTACCACAACGGACCGGTACATCCACCGCATTACTGCTGCCACAGCACCAATTCACCTGTTGATACAATCCATCCTTCCCTCACTTGTGAACAAAACCCCAAGACACTTAGCTTAACTTAGACACTTTCCTCCAACCTGGAGATGGCAAACCAACTTTTTCCGGTGTAGCACCATGGCCTCAGACTTGGACGGGCTGATTCTCATCCCAGCCATGTCACACTTGGCAGCACACCACCCAAGAGCATGCTGAAGGTCTATGTTCGATGAAGCCAACAGAACAACATTGTCTGCAAATAACAGAGATGAGATCCTGTGGTGCCCGAACCGGACCCCCTCCAGCCCAGGGCTGCACTTTGAAACTCTATAAAAAATTATCAACAGTATTGGTAACAAAGGGCAGCCCTGCTGGAGTCCAACATGCACTGGAAACAAGTTTGACTTATTGCCACCAATGCAAACCAAACTCCTACTTTGTTCATACAGGAATGAGACAGCCCTTAACAAAGCGCCTGTGACCCCATACTTCCAGAGCACCCTCCACAGAATGCCACAAGGGACACGGTTGAATGCCTTCTCCAAGTTCACAAAACACATGTGGACTAGTTGGGCATACTCCCATGAACCCTCGAACACCCTGGTGAGGATATAGAGTTGGTTCAGTGTACCACGGCCTAGACAAAAACCTTATTGTTCCTCCTGAATCCTAGGTTCAACTATTAGTCAGATCTTCCTCTCCAGTACTCGGGCATAGACTCTTCCAATAATAAATGTTCTTATTAAAAATGTATCTGTTTCGTTTTTGATATGTGCAGAGCTGTAGCTGCTTAATTAGCCCTACTACACTACTGTATTTCATACTGGTGGTACTTGGAGAGACAATTTTTTTCTGAGGTGGTACTTAGTGAAAAAAGTTTAAGAACCACTGCATTAGAGGGACCCACTCCTTTCCCTAAACACAACTGACAGTGGTTTTCAAAAGCAAACAATAAGAGAAAAGGTTTCGTTTTACTTATAACGGTCCTTTGCCAATCTCAAACCCTAGTCCACTCTAATACGCTCTACCTCCCAAGGCTGGCAACATTTACTAACAAGTCAAACCAGAAATCTGTACATAAGGAGGCAAGAACTTAGAGGTATCACCCCGCTGGATTCGTTTTATACATAAATTGCAGCCATGTGTACTCGTGAATATATATATTTGCTGGTTCTCTGTATCTTTGTGTCTCTGGATGTCATCAGCTGCTAACATGTGCCGGCTTCACAGTGAGTTCAGGAGAGAGCAAACCCTGCAGGCCATTTGACCATCAAGCTTCACAAGAGATGAAAATTCAGGCCCCGTTTACACTAATGTGTTTTAGTTTGAAAACCCATAAGTTTTGCTACATTTACGCCATCCGTCCACACTACGCCGGAGTTTTTGAGTACCGAAAACGGAGCGTTTTGAAAACGCTGAAGAGGCCATTTTCATTCTAAAAGGCTGCTGCTCCGTCTCAGTGTGGATGGGGGAAAACAGAGACATCTGAAAACAGAGGCGGGGCTGCCGACATTTGCCTCTATGATTGGGGCTTTTCCTCAATATTAAGTAGCCTACACAGAGTTAAAGTTCTGCATCCACTCCTTGTAAGTTCAGACTTCGCATGTTTGATATGGAAAACAGACTCCCAAGAACATGTCGGGTAAATTTTCAAAGGGAGCAGTGTGCTGTATAACCTTATTCACATCATCCTGGCTGCATTGTTTCACTTTCTTAACAATAAAATAAAAACAAGAAGGAACTGCTATTTTCATTTTGATATTAGCCTAACAGACAGCAGAAATGTTAAGGCGTTGTGCTGCATTTATGAGCGTCATCTTCACTGTGTGCATATTTATAACAAAACGGAGACTATAACAACTGCCTCCTTTCATTTTCAGTGAAAATACGAAACATACCCTCTCTTCTGCTAAATATCAGTTTTAATAATCAATAATGGCCATTATAAAAGTATAACAAACAATAAGTTTATACATTATAGGAAATAAAGGCAAGCAATTATTCAATATACAGACTGTACGTGGTTAGATTAATTATTAATTAATCTCTGCAAACAGCCAAAACACGTTATCGAGTAGTAGTAGCCTAATAGATTCAAAAGACCAAAGTCGGGGAATATGTCAATAGATATAGGCAACAAGATTAATTAAATATCCCGTTTAGCAAATATAGTGAGATTAGATGCAGCGGGAGATGCTTGATGAGCACTCAGACTAGCACAGCTCTCATCTGGGTAGATAGGCTGCAGCGCTTGCCAAAGAGTGTGTGTGTGGTCACGTGATGTGCGTTTCATCGTTTTGGTGTAGACGAAGAGCTGTTTAGAAACGCTGGATGAAACGCTATTGTGGACGCGAATCGTTTTCATTCTAAAACGCACTAGTGTAAACGGGGCCTCAGTTTCCTCAACTGGCCTTCCCACTCAACACAACAAAGACACAAAATGGTAGAACTCAAGCTTTTCAGCCTTCATGATGAGGTGGTCTAGCACCCATTGCAGAACCTGATGAACATGAGGGATGTAAGACTCAAGGGACAGAGATTCACAATTCAGGTAATGCCTTTGAGGGGTATAGAAGGGGCAAAGGCAGCTGTGACAGCCATTTAATGACTACTCATGTTTTGACAGCTGCTTTTCTTTCCAACTATGATTTACCGTGTTAGTAGTGTGCTTGGGATCCTTGTTATACTGAAAAATAAAATCACTCCCAATCAGGTGCTTTCCAGAACAACGGCTCGATCAAATAAAATACTTGCTGTATTTTTAGCATTCACAATACCTTTAGTTTAGACAATATTATCAACACCACTGGCAAAAAAGCAGTCCCAAACCATTTCAAACCAGTTTATGTGAGCTTTAACATATCCTAGCCTTTTCACCATGTTCCACATCCAGAATAGTAGTTTCATGGCTGCTAAACTCAGTGTTTAACCTCTTTTGGCATTAAACTGTCTGGAATTTTTCAGGAATAATGTGTTATTTCATGTTACTGTAGGTCTCTTAGCTTCTAGAGTTCTTCATTAGATCTTTTATTTATTTATTTATTTATTTATTTATTTATTTATTTATTTTATTTTATTGTTTTTGTCCAGGTGATGCCATGATATATATATATATATATATATATATATATATATATATATATATATATATATATATATATATATATATATATATATATATATATATATATATTCAAGTCTGGAATATGTAAAGGCCATTTTATGACTGTTTGTGTTTCATCAGCTGTTTTTAGCCCAAATATGATGTCACTCTGTGTCAGTAGTCAGTTTGGGATTATCATCATGCTTAAAATAAAACAATTACAAATGAGTTGCTTATTTAAAAAAATAACACAATAAATTAAAACCTGTCTGCACTTTTCAGCTTCCAAAATCCCATTATATCCCACAATATTGCCAACACAACTGGCATTATCTGCAGCCCAAACCAGAACAGAGCCTCCAACATGTTTCACTGAATGCTGCAAGCACTCATCCTTCCAACTCTGTGCAACTCTTCCTTTCTCATGTCTTGAACAATTAGAAAAAGCCAGGCGTAACTCATATATATTGTATTCAAATAAAGATTAAAAAAATATATGGTCATCATACCATCATTAAAACAACATGAATACCAACACAAGACAGTATATCAGTAGGACATATGGAGTCAATAAGATATGAATATATATATATATATATATATATGAACAGCCAGTTCAGACAAATTGCTATACAGCTAGAGCTTGAGATTAACTGAACGTCCTTAAAAAATTACATGATCCTGAACATCCATGAACCATGAACAATACATATTCTGTTTGTATTCATAAGTTCAGCGCTGATTTGTTCACATTGTAGGAAAATCGAATCATGAAATCAAAAGTGAATGGTTACATCCCTAAAAAACATCAACAAATAAATAGTGGCAAGATTGTATGTGTGGCAAATAGTATGTATTCACAGATTAAAACAAACAGCATTGGTTATGTGCATACGTACCGATTGCGATCTGGCAAATCCAGTCATTGTAGGCTTCACAATCACGGTCGTTCCACTTTCGTCCATAGTAAAAGCTGCTTTCTGTACAGAGCTCTTGATTGTTGTGATTGTTCGGTTCTCCAAATGACCAGTTCTCAAAATCAGACTGGAAAGATGTGTAAACACATATTAATACACAGTAGATGTAAAATTCAATATCTATAATGTAGCGAACAATTCATTTAAAAAAAAAAAAAGCTTTAAGCTAATTCACACGACAGCTTTTTCAGTTTTGTAAACATATGATATCATATAGATCAAGTTTGCTATAAAGTACCTATATTTAAGATCTATTATACTCATAAGTACTATGAAGGATCTATATTTACTTACCTTAAGTATAGTATATTCCAACATTACTTTAATATATTCTAGAAAACTAACCTGAAGTATATTAATGTTCTGAAATGAAACTGCTGAACAAAACTAATTCCAAACTTTCTCTGTTTTTTTTTTTAATTATTATTATTATTTGTCTCTGTTAACTGCCTTAACACAATCTGTGATGTATAAACTGCAATATAAATATGGGGTTATTCTCTTAAAAGCACATTTTATGTTCACTACAAAAAGTATGCGTAGCTAATGTTTAAGTACAGTAGATATGAAATATACATGGAGTATAATCATAAAGTAAGTACACCAACATTTACAGAATGTACTAGACGTATACTTGTAAGTGTACTACTGTCTGAAAACTGTTTGTGACTAAATTGACCCATTTTGGGGTACACAACTCTGATGTATGCTTTAAAGTGCTCTTGCGCAACAGAAGTAAACTTTAGGTGCACAGGTAATCCATCATTAGGTATTTCACTTGTACTGCAAGTGAACTTGTAGTGGGTAGTGTTCCTTTGTAATATTTGTTGTGAATAATTACTTTGTGAAGGGAAAAAGTTGCAATGTGGCCAAGTATGGTGTACCACTCAGAATGAGCTCTGCCTTTAAGCCATCTATGTGCACACACAGTAAAAAAAACAACACTTTACAAACTATTGAAATATCATTATGACAAATTGATATTGCATTACATGCCAACTTTAAATACTAATTAAGAGAAGGTTTCTGATTCTGATGAAGGTTTAAGTCATTACCATAAAGTTTCTTATGATAAATTATGTGATTATCTTTTCATTATAATGAAATGTTGAATCATTATTTTTTATGAGACCATTTTGAAATTGTAAAAAATTGTATTGAATAGTGTAAGAAACAAGTCTTTAGCAGTCAGATAAAGCTTCTAACTTTGATTTTTCTTTCAGAATATTCTAAAATATGAAATATTCGAAATGTACATTTTGCCAGTAAAAGATACTTTAAATTATGAGAAAGTTACATGATTGTATTTTTACTCAAATCTAGTGGAAATTTACATAGAAATTTGAGACACAACATTTGTAAATAGAGGAAGCAGTCATAGAAAACACTTACAGGAGTTCCATCTGTCCACACAAAACCAGAATTAATATTCAGTAAATTGAAACCTATCCATGCTGTCTCTCCCATTCCGTACCTGCAGGATAAGGACATTTGTACCATCACAAAGCTGTGCTATGATATAGGCTACCAGCCTTATAATGTAATGAAAATAAAATAATTTTATAAAACAATGTTAGTGCAGATTGTTTTGAGCACTCACTGTAAGTTGTTGATTTGTTTTTGAGAATGGAAGCTTGCCAAGTCACCACCAATGGCTTTACAGTAATCCCGAGCCTCAAACCAAGTCTTCTTCTGCTCCTTTGGCCTTGAATAGATCTAAATAGTGCAAGTTAAAAACATGATTCCCCCCAAAAAAGAACTTTAAATAACAACATACAATAAATGAATATAGGAAATTATTATACCTGTTATATCAAAATTTGATCTTTATGCATAAAATGTGTCTGTCCACAAAAATGTGTGAGCTTAACATGTTTAAGTTAACATGCTACAACTAACTAAATAAGGAGACCTTTCCAGTACTTCTAAATCATTTAGGACACTTAGTGCTAACATTAAGGTCACATTGTGAATCAATAAAATGAAAAATTGCTCTTAATTTTTAGAATAGGTTTGATTTGATGTATGTATGTATATATATATATATATATATATATATATATATATATATATATATATATATATATATATATATATATATATGGATATTTTTCACTGGCGGACACTTTCTGCTGCAATCCAGCACCGGGAAGACACTAGCTTATGAACCCCCAGTGCTGGAAACAGTACACACACACAAACATGACAGCCAATTCGGTTGCTTCCTGTTTCTTGGCAACTTACTTGCTTTGAGGCAACAGTGCTAAAACTATAACATAATAGCATAAATACTTCTTATATCCAGTTGAGCTTTTTATGATTCTTGTTTTATACGTTTTAGACAACAAATAAAGATTTTCTTTCAAACTTATGCTTTGCATTTTCTAACAAAACAATTAGGCAAATATATTTTTAAATACAGTTTCAAGAGTTCACACATAGCTGATGATTGATTATAAAGTGTGTTTGGTATGCTGTCTGTGGAGAGAGCCCAGAGCTTATAAGATCCTTGAGTCCTGGGTTCGAGAGATGGTAGATCTCAAAAACTCTTCTGCTGATTCATTGCTAATGACAAATAAGGATAATCCTAATTAAGAGCTCATCTATGGTGACAATTTAGTTCACCCATGTCATATGTCTCTACACACTATGCGTGTCGACTGGCCTGTAAGGACTTGGACCAGTGACATACTTGCTGCATGTTGCACTGGGCCACCGTGCCACCCTACCAAAAAATAGGGAGGAGGATTAGAGGTGGAAGGGAAGGAAAGATAACTGAGGTAAGTAACTTTGGTTATTTATAGTAAGGGATCATCCAATTGGCAAATCATGCGTTAGCTAATGCAGGACCAGTTGGTGTTAATCATAAGCATGTGATCCTCTCGAAATTAACATATATATTTAAATATATTTATGCTAAATTTGGTGAATGAAAACTATTCAGAAAACTGATGTGGAGTTCCGAAGGTTCAAACCAAAAATGATGGATTGGAAATCAAATGTGTGCAAATAAATGAAGATTTCACATTTTTCGCATCCTTAGCTTAAGACCAAAAATTTTATTATTATTTAAAGGGATAGTTCCGCCAAAAATGAATTTCTTACCCTCAGGTCTTTCCAAACATACAGTATATGACCTTTGTTCATCTTTTGAAAATAAATGAAAATTTTTTTGTCTTGAGAACTCTTTGTGAATACAGCCCCAAGTCTCTACATTAACCTGAAATACTTTAGCTGCTCTAAGATGTTACATAAAAATAAAAAAGAAGTGTATTTGTTTACGTTTACCTGAATACAGTTGCGTGGATCTTTTTTAGTCCAACCAACTGGACAGCTGAGAGGCTGGGTAGTTGGGGGAATTTGCGTTGTAGTAACACCCTCTGCCATTTTTTTACAGATGTACTTCTGTTTACTGTTACAATCCAGCACATCCCATAACCCAGCTGAAGTTCCTGTTAACATGGCCACACATCCTCTGTGTTTTTCTAAAAGGTGAAAAAAGAGATTGACAAAAAGGATTAAGGATTGTGGGTTATGGATTAGGGCAGTGGTTCTCAAACTGTGGTACGTGTACCACTAGTGGTACGCAGGCTTCCTTCTAGTGGTACGCGGAGGAATGAAATATGTCTTGTACATGCTTCACACATTTCCAAGTTTACCAAAAATTATGTATATAATATGCCATATATGACATATAGCCTATATTTCTGAGGTAATCTGCCATGATTTTTCTAACTGTGCAGAGTTGTAGCTGCTTTACTGGGCCTACTACGCCACTGTATTTCAATACTACTCATTTTGGTGGTACTTGGAGAGACAAATGTTTTCTAAGGTGGTACTTGATGAAAAAAGTATGAGAACCACTGGATTAGGGAGATTCTGACATTACTGCTGAAGTGTACAGAATAAAACACTGACATTTTTAACGTGTCACAAAAACAGATATTACATGACAACATACCTGGCATGCCCACATTGAAGTGTGTAAATTTGACTTTATCGCTGTTACTCCACCGAAAGCTCTCTGGACTTTCAGTATTACTGAGACCAATCCAAAAATATTTCTCAGGCCTAAGACCCACCAAGCTAATGAGAAAAGCATTCTCATACCTATTTAAAGACACAAGATTAAAATGATGTGATTAAATGTGTGCATTTAGACAGTTAAAAAAAAACTGACAAACTGTCCAATCAATAATCAAAGATAAACAAACTTTGGCCACAGTGAAAAAAACCGATTGATGAATCTTGCAAAATGCCTCCTTATATTTCACAAAATGTGAAAGTGAAAAAAAAAAGAAATGTAATAAGGAGACCAAACTGGAACTCAAGATTATTGTGGAATTGTCATTACAGAGTACAACATAGTCCAGAGATAATCTTAACAGAAAAATGTTAATTTTGGAATAAATCATTAACACAATGTTGAATAATATACAATGTATATTAAAAAAATATATAACATAAAACATACATTTAATTTAAGTCTACTTAATAGTTTGTGTTTTAAAATTCAAACTTCCGTTCCATTTAAATCCTCAGAACAAGTAAATAATGTTGCATGTTGTTATTTTCCATTGTGGATTTTCATTTATTCCATTTACATGTTATCAAGAGCATGAAAAGGCACCTATGTCATAATATCCTCAATGTATTTTAATTAACTAAGGAAAGATTTTCCTGTATGTCTGAAGTAAGGAAAAATGACACAGCAACACCATTCTTTTCTTAAGGTATTACCTTAAACATAACATGAAACATTACCTTTTTTTAGGGAATGTGTTACTGTGCTATTAGAATAATTATACCCAGTATGCATACTGCCCAAATGTTTATTCTTGTTAAATTTTAAAATTTAGGACACACTGTTGAATTCTATGGCTTTCCATATGAGAACACAATAAAATACTTATCTGGCCTTTGGTGAGTCTTGAAAATTTTGATAGCTCAAAATGTTACCCTTTTTTATAATAGTCTAATAGGGAGTTGAGGCTTTAATCACCAATCTTTTAAATATATTATATTCTCTATTGAGGGGAAATTCAGTATCACAACAATGCAACAAAACTAGATTTTTTTTATTACATAATTTCACTTTTTCTTCCAAACTTTTACAGTTATATTCAACAGTAGATGATCTAAATCCATAGTTCATTTAACAATTCCATATTCCCCAATGCTCTCTGTATTTTCTTCCACCTAGATCTATGGATTATGGGTTACATAAACACACCCGACTTAATCTGTGTTGCATAATCTTGCAAATGAGTGAACATTCCCATTTTCTTTTGAGAACTGTAGAGTTTAATTCTAGTAGGTCTTTTTCCTTTAAATATAAATCTTGAAATTAATTTGTTTAGTTTATATAATTTTTAAACAAGACAAATCATGTATCTACACTCTAAGAAATAAAGGCATGCGAGCTGTCACTGGGGTGGTATCTTTTCAACAGGTACACATTTGTACTTGTAGGGTCCATATTAGTACCGTAAAAGTGTATATTAGTCCCAAAGCATTTTAAGAGAAACACTTGTATACTTTTTAGGTACTAATGTGCACCCTTGAGGTAATAAAATGGACCATTAAGGTACAAATTTTTACCTTTTGAAAAGGTACTACCCAGTGACAGCTTGTGTACCTTTATTTCTGAGAGTGTATTGTATACAGTATAACCATCAACATATATTATATGCATTACCTGCTGGCAACATCAACCAAATTGGCTCCTGTCTGCTCACAAATCTGTTTGGCTTCATTAAAGGTCTTGCTTTCAATGGCACTCATATAGCAGTATGAGCCATATCTAACCCAGCCCTATGGGAACAAAAGACATATAATTTAGTCACATTGACAATTCTTCACACATCTTTACCAATACAAATAAGCCAGACCTATTTTTAAGCTCAACCTTTACTAATCTTAGCAAATCAAATCTAATAAAATATGCTATGTTAATTGTTCATTCATGTTAATCACTGTACCTTTATCAATGTTAACAATTGCAACTTTTAATAAAAGTAGCAAATGTTGAAAGGAACTAAGATTAAAGTTAACTAATCTTATTAAATGCGATCTTGTTATAAAGTGTTAGCATAAAGATCCATCAAGCACCCATATTTTAAGTTAGCAGAAGATTGAAGCACGTCAAACTGTTATTTATTTTGTACATTTTAATTGTGAATAGATAATGAAAATATTAATAAAACAAATGTAGTAATTCGATGTTATACTATTATTATTATATTTATTATTAATATATTATTTCTAATTATAGGTATTGTTTTTTCTCTGTTTAAAGTTTATGTATAAAACATAAAGACCAACTTAATCTAGACTCACAGCTTGACATCCAAGACTGACAACCTCTGGGGCACCTTCAGGCTTGCTAGATGATTTCTTTTTGCAGATGTAACCACGCTCCATTTCACATGCATGGTCTGCCCATTTACCATCCTATTACAAAATAAATAAATAAAATATTACAGCCACATGAAAAACTCACGTTCAAATCAGTTTTGTACAGTGGTCTCTTATTGCTACTCTCAATCTAGTGTGACATTCTAAGGAAGCCAACAATCTACTTAACAAAAATGAGGTGATTTGTTTATATAGTCAATATGTTCTTCGTTTCTTGATGTCACATTTTAGAGAACATAAAAAAAAATTTGCATTATTTTTCAACAGGGCATTCCATTGCTCTCTATCATATTCATAAATATGACTCTCCTATCATATTTTAAGTTTTGTAACAGCACTATTGTGGATCAGTGTGATTCAATGGGTGCACTCTCAACCATATTTCTGAAACCCATAGATTAATTCACTTGACCAAAACACTTTTGAGTGAGAGGCTTTGAATCAGGAAACTACAACTTAAATAGACCTTTGTCATCTTACATATGACATAGGCCCCCCTTGTTGTTGCACACTTTTGTTCATTATCTTCCTTTTATGGTGGTTACAGTTCAAGCCCATTGATTTCCCAAAAAAGCCTGAAACGTGTGCCTATGACAACTGTGTCCACAGCTATGAGAATTATTAAAGCCCATTTTCATTACACATTAAGACCAATTGGATTGCCTGAGGACACTGACTTGGAAAGAGTTTTAAAAAAATGTTCAGACCAAAGAAAAGAAATGTTCAAGTTTTGTATTTACATTACCAGATGCTTTTATTATAAATTAATTTCAAAAGAATATTTCAAATCATTCTTCATAATGAGTTAAAAAATCACAAGTAGTATGTTTGAAAAAAGTAGTTACGTTTTAAATCCAGTAATTTTGGGAAATTATTTTGTTTGCAAATTATTGCATCGTTATCAATATCAGCAATACTGGCCCACTGTATTTACGAGTCAATATCAAATTTTGCAGAATCACACTCTTTGATTCTTGGACCGTTTTTAGGGTATGGCAGATTGAACTGTGTGCTTTTGACACACTGTCTTTCCTTGTTTCATTGTGTTGTTTTAAAGCCCTGTGAACATTTGAAAATACACTAGTCCTACTTTGTAAACTGCGTTTGAGGCTGAGCGTTACATATGGCTAACTGGTCCTCACCATGAGTTCCAGTCACTTTAATTAACCTTTATTTCTATAGCATCTTTTACTGTGTAGATTGTGTCAAAGCAGGTAACGAAAAATCATAAAAGGTAACGAAAATCCTAAAATATTTCAAATTGTAAAACATTCCAGCAGTTTAGGCAGGCAGTAGAGTAGTGGTAGAATGTTGGTGTACTTCTAGTAAATGAACCCTAAATCTATTCAGTTTAGTATAAATTACACTGCTGAAGTTTAGTTAAGATTAATTCAGATCAGTCTATCAAACCCACAGCTCCTGGAATGAGTTACAGTAGGAAAATAAAATGAATCTATTTGTATAATGACTGAGCTGAAAATTATACATACTAAAACAGATTAATTGTTGTAGATTTGAGTGCATGTGCTGTTTGGGTTAGTTAAGACTTCCTAGGATTAAGTAAGGTCTGCTCATGCAGGACCAATACTAAGTAGCCAACATTTTGCAAATGAAAAAACTCTCAGAAGCCCTGTGCTTTCAGCCTAATGAAGCCCTATAGGCTGGCCTTAAGCAGATGATAAGAATGTTATCACTTGATTGAATGGGTGTTATCAGTGGTTGGATTAATAGATATTTGCCAGTAGGGGCCTTCTGCACCTACTGGTAGGCTCAGAAGGCTGTTATCATCTATACACAATGCAGGCTTGTTTTCCAGAAAAAAAGAAAGAAAGAAAACAGACTTACCTTTCCCTTGATGAGGACACAATCCTCCAAGCGATTTATGAAATGTGAAGGTTCTCCTACTAGCCACGTCGTAAAAGTGACATGAGTTCTGTCTGACCATTCAAACAGATTCTGAGTCTTCTGATCATTAAGCCCAATCCAAAGTTCATCTGTAGGCACTAAATAACAAACATTCCAATTTGTATCAGTTGTTAGTAAAAATAAATATGAAGGGTTTTTTTTATATGTATGTGTTGCTTTAGTCTATAAGTCTGCACATACTTACAGTATCCACTCTGTGATATAATGAAACTGTGCTCTTCTATGTTGTGTATACTGGCCAAGTTTGCTCCTTCCCTGTGACATGCTGCTAATGCATCATTCCACATTTTCTTGGTGCGCTGCAGATAATAGCAATTACCAGCATATGGCACCCATGCAGCAGGACAGAAGTTGGGCTGATCTTTACCTGCAAGAAAAATATCTTTGTAAAACCTTGCCATGTCATGTTTTAATAGATGAATTATTTAATATAGTGTGTATATATATATATATATATATATTTGAAGTCACCATCCTGTGATTTATTATTATTTTCTTTTATATTTCCCAAATGATGTTTAACAGAGGTGGAGCATTTTCATAGTGTCTGATAATACTTTTTTTTTTTTTTGGAGAAAGTCTTATTTGTTTTATTTCAGCTAGAATAAAAGCAGGATAGTCTACAGAGCAAACCACTGTTATACAACAACTTGACTAATTAACCTAACTTGCCTAGTTAAGCCTTTAAATCTCACTTTAAGCTGTATAGAAGTGTCGGTAACATTTTATAATGACTGCACTCTAAGCAATAGCATCTAGTGAATTCATTATTTGTTAAGCATTAACTCTACATTAATAACTGTTAGTAAACAGTTTAAAACTGCAGCTACAAATGCTGTATTGTTGAAATAACCACATTTATAATGTGCCTAATAATTATACTTTCATAATTTGTGACTGGTTGATTTTTCATTACTAAATTCAGTATTACATTATTTATGAGTAGTTGGGGATTTTAAAGATCATTCGGAATGAGTTAGCAAATGGTTAATTAACTATTGAAATCCACGTTTATATATTTTAGTAGTCAGTCATATAGTAATGGTTACTATGTATGCTAATAAATGCTATATTAACTTAACTTTTAAAGTTAAAATTACAATTAAAGACTCAGTACCAAATAAAAAATAATCTTTGCAATCTTATCTAAAAAGTAAAATTCTTGTAAAGTTTAAACATTGCTGAATAACATGGGGTGTCTAAATATGACGTTACAATTGGATCAAGCATCAACAATATAATAATTTTACAATATAATAGGATGCAATGTTTAAACTGTATAGTAATTTTATTTTAGATAAGGTTGCAAAAATTTATTTTTCATTGGATAAAAATTCATTTGTGTATCTTAAAATGAATAGGGATGAATAATGTCATTTATGTTCTGTTTTCCTGTTTAGAATTTAACTGAGTCTTTAATTGTCATTTATAAGGCATTTACAAAGCATAAATAGTCCTCAGGATTAGGTCACAAAACTGGATAAGGTTGGGTTAATAAAAGCTTTTATTAACATACAATCTAACTATTAGTATTTGTCTAAATAATAAGAATTATAAATGTTAGTTTTAATATTAATATTAATAGTTTTAATAGTTTATTAATCATTTATTAACTAATCTTAAAAACCACTAACTATGAAATACTTAACTTAGTAATGAAAAATAAATCATTAACACAGTATGAAAGTACAATGTGAAAGTACAATGTGATAACACATTATAAATGTGGTTGTAAGTCAAGAGTACAGTATTTGTAGCTGCAGTTATAAACTGCTCACTAACGTCTACTAATGTAGAGTTAATGCTTAATAGATAATGAATAACCTATTTGTTAATGCTTAATAAATGGTTCATAGTGGGTATTTATAAAGTTTTACTGAAGACCCAAGATTAATAAAGGGACTAAGCTGAAAAGAAAAATGAATGAATGTAGTGCCTTGAAAAATAGTCAAATATTGTGTACTGCAACTATCATTGCAAAGATATAATAAATCAGTTGTTAGAAATTAGGTATTAAAACTTTTATGTTTAGAAATGGGTTGAAATAAATAATCTTTTAAACAGAAACTGGGTAAAATATGTACAGGGAGTTTCCCTGAAAGCCATGGGAGTTTCCGAAAGCCAAGTTCACAAGTTCCGTCGTTGCTAACAAAGTTTGTTGATTTGGGGTTTGCCAAATCCATCGTTTTCGTTCATTTGCAAATTGCATCACAAACTTGTATGCTTGCAACTACACCTTTGGAGCTTTAGAAACATAGTTCCTAGCTTTGTTCTATTTCCAGTTATCCCCCATGCTCTATTTGTTTAGAACATTCTAAAATAAAAAACCATTAAAGTCCTCTCTTAGATGTAATTTGCTTTCAAGGTATTTTTACAGTTCGGTTTTAGTGATCTTCAAGTTCACAATTTGCCTCCCTTTGAAGTGCACTTTAAAAACATTGATGTCATTTTGAACACAGCAGTGGCTCATGACGAAAGTTATAGGTGACCTATTATTTAAAAACAGAATTTATGTTACGTCTCCAAAGCTTGTGAAAACGAAATATATAGCAAAAATTAATGCTTTTATTTTATAGTAGGTTATTTATTAAATATCTGTACTGTTTATGACATGGGCCTGGTGGTTAGAAAATGTCTGCAGTATTTTGCATGTGTCAAAGTGTAAAAGTAGACTTTTCAAAATAAAAAATAAATAAAACAATATCCTACTTAATAATAATAATCATCATCATTATTATTCACATCATTATTAATAATCAAAATTAGTTATTTCTTTATGTGATTTATATATGACACTAGAATATGTGTTAGCTTTTGTAAGTGGTTTTTTGTTTTAGAATAGAATATGTAATGTTCTCAATAATATTTGTAAAGGAAACATAGGCTCTATATGTGCCATTTACATATATTTCAATTAATATGGCAAGTAAGTGTATGTTTTTACCAAAACTAATATTGGATTTTTTTTACATTATAACTAACGTTCAAACGATGAATCTGCGAAAGAGAAACTACGGGTTTTGGGAAACACTCGTCACTACATCGTTCTTTTCCCCAATGCATCGTACTATAGTAATTTAGCTGCTAGTTATTTTGTTGTTTGGGAAATGCACCCCAGGATAGCTAATAATTCAGGAGGGTTAATAATTCTGACTTTAACTGTATAAAGCCTCACCTTCAATTTGTATTAAATGTAAAGAAAGCATATGCACATTTTTTAAAATGCAAAGATACTTTATTAAACACAGATAGAACATATTTACCCAGATAATTCAATGCATTTACTGCACAGATAAAATTTTACCTGGTGGAGGTGTGTTATCTGTTGAATTGCCTTTGCGACAGATGTAGCCTAGTTTCTTATTGCAGGCCATGCTTTCCCACTTTGAGGCTTTACCAGCATTTAATGCTGCACATGTTAGTCCTGGTTCCAGAGAGGGGTGACCTAAATGTCACAATGCATCCATTTAAAAAACAGCCTCTATAACTAACACTGGAATGTCTTTAGATTTGTGTGCACCACTGTGAACATTTATCCTGTATGTACATAACTGTTATTTACCAGGGGCCCAGTTTAGGTATCTGAATGGATTTCCATTACTCCACTGCCAGCCACTCTCAAAGTCAAGACTGTTAAGTCCAATCCATAGTGCGGAGCCAAAGGTATTTGTCAGTCCTATAAAAATGTATATGATATAATGAAATACCACAGTATTATTTCATAATTATACACATTCATGCTGAGTTTGGAATCTTTATTTGTCTGTAAGAACATCACAACATGCAGAATAATGTGTTTGAAGGTAACTAAAGGTAACTACCTGATATGTAACTCTGCTCATGCAGTTCGGTTATGCTGAGAAGATCAGCTTCTTGTTGCTGGCAACTTGTTCTTGCCTGATGCCAAGTCAGTATTGACTGCACATTCCTCTGATATAATACACCAGTCACTGGATCACTGTCCCATCCAGAGCTGGCTATTGCACACAGTGAATGAAATAAAATGGAAGAAGATTGGAAATTAGGAAGATAAGAAGATTTGCAAAATTAAATGACATATAGATTACAGTATATTACAATTTAGTTTTTAATAATACAGTTTTCATTTTGAACTACAGCATATGACTGAACTGACTTACTTTATACGGTTATCACAAAATGATTCGTACAAGTTAGTAAAATAGCAGAATGCTGTTTGTGAGTATTGTTGGTTGTAGGTTTAGGTTCTATGAATGTCCCCATTTAGAGTAAATGAGTGTTTGTGCTTCAGGTATTCTCATACACCACAACGATATTGCCAAAGACTGTGTGTGTGTCTGTGTGTCTGTGTGTGTGTACAGTATGTGTGTGTGTGTGTGTGTGTGTGTGTGTGTGTGTGTGTGTGTGTGTGTGTGTGTGTGTGTGTGTGTGTGTGTGTGTGTGTGTGTGTGTGTGTGTGTGTGTGTGTGCCATAGGATGTGTTTGTCAGCAGGTCATTTAACAGTTGTGCCACTTGGACAAGACAAAGTAAAAAAACAGGAAAATGAAGGAATGTCATGATCAGCAACAGCAGCATTTCTCACATTTTCTCTTCCTTCCACTATTTTCTAGTTCATAGATTGAAATCATAGCTATCAGTATCACTGCAAGCTTAGCAAATTTATTGTCAAATGCACACACACACACACACACACACACACACGCAGATACACTAGCTATTTTTTGGGGGACCCATAGTTGGAGCTTGACTCAGACCTTGAACTTCCTCCAAGGACGGGAGGTCCGAGCTATCTTCAGAGGTTGATAGCTCTGGCCGCTGCTTCAGGATGCAATTGATGCAACTGATTGAGTAGCTAAACTCATGACTTTAGTTTGCTCCTAACATAAGTTTGGGAGGATCCTGATCAGTCAGGTTGGTCAGTCAATCATCATGTGTGTATATAAGTAGTGGTCTTTGCACTGTTTCTAGGTTTTTTACTTTTGTTTCGGCATCCCTCCACCTCCCCATCTCCTCCTCTGTTTTTCAAAATGTGCTAAAGAGGCGGTGTGGGGGACTCATACTTGGAGCATGGAGTCATGCCTCAAGCTTCCTCCAAGAACGGGAGGTCCGAGGCCATGCTCTCTTCAGGCATTGATAGCTTGGCCCCCTTGCTTCAGGACAGCAATGCCAAAATCTTTTACTATGTTTGATGCAATTGATTGAGCTAGTGAACTCATGAATTATTAGAAATGATTTTACGAGCGTTAGTTCTCCATCTTCTTCCCAATGGCCATCAACTTTATTGCAGTGGTGCTGATACCCAGGATGGGAAGGAGAAGGGGGGCTTGCCACTGTTGAGGAAGTCCAAAGAAGTCACTGCCATCTCCCAAGAGCCGAACACTGTTACCGACTATACCATGATGGGGAGAAGCAGGGAGCACAAGTGAATGAGGGCCTCATAGCCAGGCACCCATGAGCCAGAGGACCTGTCAGCTTCCAGCTGGGGACGGGGATTCTAAAGGCAACCACCGAGAGGCTGCCAGTGCTGTTCAGGCAATGTGAGTAAGGTTCTCTCATCTCAGGTTCTCTCCTGCCACCAGCCTCACATGCCCTCATGGCTCTTGTCCCCAACCCACTCACTACATACTTCAACATAACTTAAGAATACTAAATTTTTTCCTGAGGGAACAAATCATCAGATACTGAAAATTTTACTCTAAATTTGAATACAGCCATTTCCGTGGTAACCTTCTGTGGCTAAACATCCTTCTGGAGGGTATTGTAATGATTATCTTGACCATTATTGTGGTTGTATTTTCTAAACTAGCTCAAGATGTATCTAGTATTTTTATACCATTCATTCATTCATTCATTTTCTAGTCGGCTTAATCCCTTTATTAATTCGGGGTCGCCACAGCGGAATGAACCGCCAACTTTTTCGCAGAGGATGTTCTTCCAGCCGCAACCCTCTCTGGTAAACATACACACACACACATTCACATACACACTCATACACTACGGACAATTTAGCCAACCAAATTCACCTGTACTGCCTGTCTTTGGACTGTGGGGGAAACCGGAACGTATTTTTATACCAAATAATTTAAATAATCTTAAATCTGAAAGTTGTGTTTTGAAGTTTGAATTTTCCTAAACTGTTAATTAACTATTTAATGAAAGAAACAATTTTCTGTAAATCTAGTGCATTGAATCTAGTATATAACGAAGTTCTTTTTTAACTGAATTGCAAAAGTAAAAAAAAACAAAAAAAACTTGTCCAAGATATTATTTTGTGAGAAGTATCTAAAATGTTTTCATAGGGCAGAATTACTCACTTTTAGTTGGACAAAAGCCCCACTTTTTGTCTGTGTCATAGTCTGTGTCTGTGGAACACCAAAGCTGGCCATCTGATCTTCCCTCCGTAGTACATTCCGCATACAACTTGTCAGCAAATTTAAATGGGAACTGACATGGTTTCCCAAATGAATTTCCACCTATTGTATAGATCTCTGCAGAAAATTTATAAACAAAATAAAGGGAAAGCAAGAGATATATTTTATATTAGATCTAAACAATTAAAAATTGAGAAAGTACTTGCCCTAGCTTAAAAAAATATTACATTATTAGCATTTTTGCAAATTTATAATGGCTGGGGTTCATTCATGCTGTCCCAAAATAAATCAATTAAGTTAACTTAACACTTTTAACATATTTATGTGGATTGAACAAAAAAAGTAAGCTGTCCCAATGAAATCTCAAGAATTGTTTTTCAGCTCATTTTAAATAAGTAGCTTAAACAAGTAAAAAAAATATTTTTTGAGTGCACCTTGATTTCCATGAGAACATAAATCGTCTTTGGTCCCATACACCTGCCAGCGACTCCATATACCTGATCCCTTGTACAACATCATATTTTGCTCATTTCGATTTCCATAGTTCATATGCAGTGGCTGACCCTTTAAACCAAACAATGTCTCATTCTTACATTCCCAAGTTTGCAAGGGACTAAGTGCATTGCAGGGAACAAGGATGATTTTGACCCAGTCCTTGATGTTTTGAGCCCCCAAACAGAGTTTAAAAGAGAGGCTGATAATTTGGGAAGAGGAAACCCATCGAAAGCGTTGACCCTCAGAAGATATATCACATGGTGCAGTCTGCAGGACAGTTGCACTCACAGCATTCACACATCTGTTGTGGTCCTCATTGTAGATAAGGAAGTAGCTGGTGTCTGCATGTATGGAAAAAAATAGATCAGAAACTAAAAGACAACACATTCCAAACTGTGTTAAGTATAGGTATAAACCTCTTTACAAACAGATCAGGATAGCAAGCTTTATTTATAAAGAACACCTTTAATACAACTGTAGTTGATCAAAAGTGCTTTACAATAAAATAAACAGGGAATGCAGTTTAAATATAAGGAAATAAGTAAATAAAACACACATATAAAATAACATGCATGCATCACTCATCACAGATGCTACAAAGTAAAAATAAGTCTTTAAATTGTATTTACAGTTTTTCCAATTGTTTACACACATTTTCTGAAAGCATGTCTCATATCACACAAATACCAACAATATTTAACTGTATTTTTCCACAAAAACAGTGTACACTGTGTTTATTCCAACCAACACAAAGTTGCACATAACATAAGAAGGATTTACAGCATACAGTTACAGTAAAAAAAAAAAATAAATAAATAAAAAACTGCTATACTGCATCCTCTTTTCTGTTATGGTCTGGCCAAGCAGTGGGGGAAATGTCACCTTGCATGGCGAATCCAGCCATGAAAAGCATCAACTGCTATAGCTTGGAGAACAGGTATATGTGTGTGTGTTCGGTCATACACTTTCCATCTCCAGGCAGAAAAAAAAAATCCTCAATAGGTTTGAGGAATGGAGAATATGGAGGGAGATAAACAACTAAAAAACATGGGTCGCAGGGGACCAGTTATGAACCAGATGAGTTCTAAATTGCAATTCTGTGTGATAGGTGTTTACTCATGTGATGAGTTAGTATGCAAAGTAGGGCAACTGACTTTACAATTTTGAATGACGGTGCGTTCCTTGTAAAAACAAGAGAATTTGTGCATGAAAATTGTGCCAAATGCAGAGGGTTGTGTGTAGTGTTTTTAAAAAAAGTGTGTGTTTTAAACCTGCAATTTGAGTATAAAACAGCAATTGTGCTTATAGTTTTGCAAAATTGGTTAAGGGGTTGGTAAATCTGTTACATGTTGTAGTCTTTGTATCTGAATCACAAATTAATTAGTAATTGTGTGTAAACAATTGGGAAAACTGTCAGTGTAATGTTTTAAAGGTTCCTGTTTTCAAAGTTGCTTGAAAAGGGGTAATATATTGTTGGTTTAAAGATATTGTGTATATGGTGTAATGCAATGTGTTTACACAGTTTTTAGAAATACAAATTTTCCATATACTGCATATTACAGTTTTTCCCAATTGTTTACACAATTACTTGTATTTCAGACACAATAACTACAACATGTAACTTGAGCACCAACCTCCAGAACCAATTCTGCTAAACTACAAGCACAATTCCTGCTTTACACTCATATTGCAGATTTATGATGAACTTGATGAACAGCCAAAATGCCAAAAAGAAGAGCAGATTTACCCTGTGCCACTTAGTTTTTTACAAGCCAGTCCAGAGTGTGTACACGCAGCGGCAGACGGTCGAGCTGGGTTTTTCCCTTGCCTGACATTCTTTGGGTCTGGTCCTCCAGAGCGGTGTGTATAAAGTTGCAACTTCACAAAAAGAGCAACACAGTCGTGCAGCACGTCCTTTTCAGGATGACACTTCGATCGTGCATTTCTGGATGCTGTGGTTTCCTGTCCCCGGATGATGGGCACGAGCACTGCGTTGCATGTCTTGGGGTCCAGCATGTTAATGCGGTGCTCGCGGGCAGTTCATGTCGTCATTGCGATGCCATAACTGTTGTGCAGTTAAGATCACGGCTAGCCTTTGCAAAAGGGCGAACCACCCCAGCTGTCCCCTGCACTGCAGCGGGCACTCGGGCAGATCTGAGGGTTCCAGTGGAAGATAATCCGTCGCCCATGGGCCCGCGGACCTCCTGCTTCTCCAAGCACTCCATCCAAGCTTCGAGCTGAGGAAGCGATCCGTCTAAACAGATGGTAGCCCTTACGTTCGATGACACCAGGGACCAGACGTCCACTGCTGCATCGGAGCTTGGGCTTTCATGGTCCTACGGGAATCCAGGCCCGCTCGCCCCCCTCGGGCAGGTGAGTGCTGTCATAACGGATCCTGAAATGGACATGTTAGCCGTGCTATCCCGGGCTGCTTCGGCCGTGGGTTGGAGATGGTTTATACCCCAGCTTCGTGGCCGGACCGACTAGATGGGTGCTACGTAGAGGACCAGAGGGTCCTTCGAGAGAGCAGTCTGATGCGATGGGTAATGTCACCTATCGGCGGGACCGTAAGCCCGCTCCACCCGCCGAACCATCCATATCTGCTGCTCCTCGCGGAAGGCGCACGCCTCCGGCAAAGTGAGCGCGCCGAGCACCTCAAAATCAGGCAGCCCCCCCTGCCCAGAGCGCCGCTAAGTCCAGTAAACGGACCGCGAAGCGTCCCTGGGACAGGTCATGTGGAGAGGAGGGAACTTGCTCTTTCCCCACTGGAGGGGCGGGCTCCATTTCCAACGGCACTTTTACTGCCATTAAAACATCAATGAAAGAGCACTTTTCCACGTCCCCGGATGTGACAGCCCGAAATCTGCCATTCTGGGACGCTATGCTTCTAGCTCGCAGGTTCGGTGCGTTTCGCCGATAGTCTCCTTTCTCTAACCCCTCGAGCCTCCCCTCTGGGGTTTGGGTGCGGAGTGAGAGCAAATCTCTCGCCTCCAGCTCTTCCGCAGGACCGTCGCGCTTCCCGGATCAGCACACCCACTCTGGCTGCCCCACTGCTGGTACATCAGCAATTGTAGTGATGAGTCCATTAGCGAGAGCTCTGCATGCCTGGTTAGCGCGGCGAGCCCTTCACGGTGGCTCATATGCACAATCAGACTCGGCTATGTGATTCAGTTAGCGAAACGGCCCCCCAAGTTCACGTGTGTGTATTCACCAGGGTCAGCCCCCTGTTCGCCCCTGTCTTGCGAGAGGAGATTGCCGTCCTCCTAGCGAAGGATGCAATCGAGCCGGTCCCTCTAGCCAAGATGGAGAGCGGGTTTTACAGCTCGCACTTCATCGTGCCCAAAAAGAGTGGTGGGTCACAGCCAATCCTAGATCTGCGCGTTTTGAACCGCTGTCTGCACAAGCTGCCGTTCAGAATGCTCACGCAGAAGTGCATCCTCCAGTGCGTTCGTCCTCTGGATTGGTTTGCAGCAATAGACCTGAAGGACGCGTATTTCCATGTCTCCATTCTTCCTCGCCACCGTCAGTTTCTGCGGTTTGCATTTGAAGGTCGAGCTTGGCAATACAAAGTCCTCCCCTTCAGGCTCTATTTTGCTGTCGAGCTCTCAGACAGTTTAGCATCAGCTGAGCGCGCTCTCCGGAGAGGCACACTGCCATGATGACCGAGTCCAGCTCCAGTCCGAGAAAAGAGATCCTCTGCACAGGGGCGAGTTTGCTCTTTTCACGGTTGACCTGAAACCCCAACAGGTGGAAGACCCGCGAAGGGTGCCTTAGCACCCCTTCGGCTCGCAGGAATCCACATATCTAATTATCTCGACGACTGACTGATTTTAGCCCACTCTCGGAGCAATTGATTATGCACAGACACAAGGTGCTCCGGCACCTCCACCTGTTGGGGTTTCAGGTCAACCGAGAAAAGAGCAAACTCGCGCTCACGCTATGCCTTGCTATCCTCTCAACGGAGGCGAAGGTAAGGTGCAGTCATTATGGCGTTTTCCAGACATTTCCCTATTTGTGGATTAAAATCCACTTATAGCATTGAAGTTCCCCATCCGAAGGGGAATGCTCTGGTTACCAACGTACGTGACCTGGACGTTCCCCTTCATATGGGAACTTCTACTGTATGGACTGTATAAAAAGCGCCACAGCAACCAAGCCTGTCACACTCCTGATGTGTAGTTTGCCAAGCCAAAGCTTGAGCGCACTGACATCACCAAGAGCGCAACCTTATACATCCCCTAGGCCCAACATATTACCATTACATGGGAACAATGATTAAAGTTTAATCGGGGTCGTAAGTGTGCTTTTACCCAGCTAATATAGACTAGGGATTTTTGGAAATACGACAGTACATTGGGAAAGCGTCAGTCCCCGCAGGGGAGGATGCGGCAGAGACCACCTGCTACCCAGATAGGGAGACCTGATGGTAAGAAGGCATATGGACTAGCCCTAATGAGGGGGAGTGCTACAAATGATAAGCTGGTTAGCGGTTTAGGAAAGACACGGGACAGCCTGGTAAGGGGGAACACACCAGGGGTAATAATGCATATGGCATCAACAAATGGGGATGCATATAGCTGGCACCGATCCTCAATATGCGTGTAGACCAAATGGGTGTACCAACTGCACACTGAGCCATGCATTCGACTCCTCCGCTGAGTCGATGATGGGGGCCTCTGAGGAACTCTCTAGGGTTCGCCTGAGAATGGAAACTTACTAGCAGAATTGGATAAAGCGTACGCATCTCCGGGTTAGGGAGCATAGCGCAGCAAGCATTTGTTACACCGAGCTTAATTCCCCCCCGATTGACTGTGGTTACCCAATAACCGGGAGGAAACTGGCTCCACTCGAAGATTACAGAACTTCGCGAATGTGTTCCCTTCTGCCGACCACCGTAACAGAAAAAGAGCTGTTCACATGATCTTACATTTCACATTTGTTCCACGTAAAGGCGCAAAGCGCGAACGGGACAATGCAGTGAGTGTTTTGAGCCTGCCTCCTCCAAGGCAGCGCTTGAGGTTCACCACCTGATTTCTAAATGGGGTGGTAGAAACCTTGGTCTCAGGACAACGTGAGAGTAACCGGGCCCAAATTCAAGGCACGATTCACTGACCGAAAATGCCTCCATTTAGACCCGCTAGGACTAGAGAGAGATCCCAAGAGGGCATGAGAGGGGGGCGGGACGGATTTAACCGCCGCGTGCCTCTGAGGAATCGAATGATTAGATTATGCTTCCCGAGCGTGTTGCCATCTACCGCTTCATGGTGAGCGGAGATCGCAGCCACGTAAACCTTGAGTGCGGAGGGTGACAGCCTACGCTCCAGCTTATCCTGAAGGAAGGATAACACAATGCTACTCTGGCAAGTTCGGGGGTCTTTTCGGCCAGAAGCACACCACTCAAAGAATAGACTCCACTTCAGGGCGTAGGCATGCCTCATAGAGGGTGCTCTAGCCTGAGTTATGGTGTTAAGTACCGCGGGCTGTAAGTCACCTAAGTCTTCCGCACTCTGTCTATGGACCACACGTGGAGGTTCCAGAGATCTGGGTGTGGGTGCCAGATGGTGCCCCGTCCCTGAGAGAGGAGGTCCTCCCTTAGGGGAATGTGCCAAGGAAGGGCCGCCGCAAGGAGTGTGAGCTCCAAAACCCAGGTCCGGTTGGGCCAGAGGGGCGCAACAAACAAGACCTGCTCCTCGTCCTTCCTGACTTTGCACAAAGTTTGTCCGAATAGGCTCACTGGGGAAAACGCATATTTGCGCATGCCCAATGGCCAGCTGTGAGCCAGTGCATCCGTGCCGAGGGGGGCCTTGGTCAGGGAATAAAACAGCTGGCAATGTGCGTTCTTGGTGGAAGCAAACAGATCGATCTGAGCTTCCCCGAAGCGCACCCATATCAGCTGGACCAAATCGGGGTGGAGTCTCCACTCTTCCCGGGACACTAGCTTCCATGAGAGCTCATCGGCTGCACGGTTGAGCTCGCCCGGAATGTGGATGGCACGCAGCGATTTCAGCCGCGTGTGACTCCAAAGGAGCAGATTGCGAGCTGTCGTTATAACAACATGCCTGGATACTAGCCCTAAGGGCACTACGGCCCGTAGAAAAACCAGATCCGTCCATGGGCTGAGGGTGCAGAGACACAGTGGAGTGATGCGCACCCGGTGCGTGCCTGCGCGCCATGCCCATCTCGGGACTCGATCGCAAAACCAACGCCGAAGTGGTCTCATATGAAGCAAACCAAGCAGCGTGACCGCGACTGCGGATGCCATATGCCCCAGGAGCCTCTGAAAACATTTCAGTGGGACCACTATCTTCCTGTGGAGCTCATTTACACAGGAAAGCATTAGCCTGGCATGCTCCTCGGAGAGTCCAGCTCCAGCCCGAGATAAGAAATCCTCTGCACAGGGCAGTTTGCTCTTCTCTCAGTTGACCTGAAACCCCAACTGGTCGAGGTGCCGAAGCACTTTGTCTCTGTGCATAATCAGCTGATCGCGGAACGAGGCTAGAATGAGCCAATCGTCGCGATAGTTGAGTATGCTGATGCCCGCAAGGCACAGTGGCGCTAGGGCACCCTCCGCGAGCTTGGTGAAAACTTTGTATTGTATATACTTTGTATTGCCACGCTCTTCCTTCAAACGCGAACCGGAGAAAAGGGCGGTGGCATGGAAGAATGGAGACGTGAAAACATGTGTCCTTCAGGTCTATGGCTGCAAACCAATCTTGTGGACGTAAACTCAGAATCAAGCATTTCTGCGTGAGCATACTAAAAGGCCTTTTGTATAAATGACAGTTCAATCTGCGCAGATTAAGGATTGGCCTTAAGCCCCCGCTCTTTTTGGGCACGATGAAATACGGGCTGTAAAACCCGGACCTTATCTTGGCTGGAGGAACCTGCTCGATTGCATCCTTCACCAGGAGGACAGCAATCTCCTCGCTCAAGACGGGCGCTCTCGTGGATGATCCTCGTGAAAAGGACACCCGTGGACTTGGGAGGGGCGAATAGCGAACTGAATCACATAGCCGAGTCTGACCGTCCGTATGAGCCACTGCAACGCGCTGAGCAGCGCTAACCAAGCCAAGAGAGTGTGCGCTAGTGGCACCATCGGAGTGTTCACTGACGTGCCAGCGAAGGGGCAGCTCGGGATGGGAGTGCTCATCCCGGGAAGCAGTGCGTCCCGTGGAAGAGCTGAAAATAAGAGAATTTTTCTTACTTTTCTCCCTGGATCCCGTGGTGAGGTCGGAGTGAGAGAAAGGAGTCCGTTCTGCTGCACTCTGAGGGCCTGAGGTGAGGGGTCCCGGCGCGGCGAGCTGGAAGGCGGAGCGTCTTAGACCGGCAGTGCTCAGGTTTGCGCATTCGGAGAGAGAGGAAACTGCTCTTTTGGAAATTTGGTTGCCGTTGGCCCGGAGGCCGGCAGTGATGAGTTTAGAGTCATAGTGGACTGATGTAATAGTCCTCAGTCCCCCACCGAGGAAAGAGCAGGTCCCCTCTTCTCCGAATGGCCCGTCCCGGGAACGCTTCGTGGTCCGTTTACTGGACTTAACGGTGTCTTGGGGTGGTAGCGTCGAAGTCCCAAGGGAGGCACGGGGTTGCCGCTTGGCCGGTGGGGCAGGCAGGGGAAGCGGAGCAGATGTTGAAGCCGCGGGTGGACGCCCTCGGTGAGGAGCTGCCGCAGCGGAAGGGGCAGTGGGAGGAGCAGTTTTCCAAGCCTGCTGATAAATGACTTCACCCATCGCCTTGGACTGCTTTTTCACAGCGGAGAATTCCTGGGTAAACTCCCCAACGGTGTTGCCGAACAGGCCAGCCTGGGATATCGGAGCGTTAAGAAAGCGAGTTTTGTCAACATCACTCTGTGGCGAGGGGGCGTGGCCGAGAGCCATGGGAATGGAATGAGGCCTCGTGTAAGTGGATGCACCTGTGGTGCGCACTGGTCTCGAATCCCACGGAAGGAGCTCTGGACTATAAGAGGAGGAATGATGGCAGAGGAAGCCGAGAGAGGACCAGGCCCGGACATATTTTACTTTTGCTTTCAGTTTGAAGGCAGTCTCTGTGAGGAGCTGCAGTCCGTTTGTTTTGGTTTAGATGGCAGTCTCCGTGAGGAGCTGCCGTTCATGTTATAAATAAATATTTTAAAACTGCGTCGGTTCTCCGCCTCCTTCTTCCTGGCAGCCAAAGGGCCGTGAACTTCATTACACACTCATATCAGCCAAGCCCAGCCAAAAGTGGCGTTTCTTGACCACTAATGTGGCCATCGTCTTCCCCAGGGCACGAGCAGCCGATTTGGTAGTCATGTGAGCATAATCGGTTGCCATGCGGAGCTCATGCAGCAAGCAATTGGAAGTCAGCTCAGCAGAAGGGTTCTTCAGTCTCAGATCGGGTCTGAAGCAACAATTCTGACGAGCTAACTCACACAGCTGACTGATATAGCCCTAATTGGCTTATCAGTTTCAGCTGTGGAGCTAAGCTCCGCCAATTCAATTGGCATTTCATTGGCCCGTTTTTATATCTTCAGAAATGATTGGTCGTCTAAAGCACTCCCAAAGACTGTTTATACAGACACACATAGAAGTTCCCTTATGAAGAGGAACTTCTTGAGCTGATGATGATGATAACGTGTGCTTGATTATCGACGTGCTTCTGAAACCTGATCCTATCAGAAACTGATAAATGCGAGAGTGAAGCGCGAAAAAAACAAAGGAGAAGCCATAAAAAAGGAGCCCATTAATTTTTCCTCTAATTGGAGTCCTTCCTATTTTTACACTGATTAAAGCAGTATGTAGTTTTCACAAGACAATATACACCACATACACACATTTGAAGAAACCCCTAAAACTGGCAGCACTCATGCATTTAGATCTTGCCCTTTGCTAACTAAAAACAGAACAATTCTACTTTGCCAGATCTTCTATATATTTTCTCAGAGACCGAAAACTTATTCAAACTTATATTATATATATATATATTTTTTTTTATAATTTTTTTTTTTTTTGATGAGCATACATTGCAAAACTTCTCTGAAAACTAGATTTGATCAATGCACCCTGTGCTTTTATACTTATATAGGTATTTGATGGTCCAAAAAAATTAAATTGAGCTAAGTACTGAGGAAATATAGCTACTACTTAAAGTAAACTGCATTTAAATTAATTGTGTAAAATCAGACATTTTAATCACGTGTTACAACTACCCTCTGGTTGTTACAACTTGCCACGGAGGTGGGGTAAATAGTAACATTTATACTCTGGCATTTTTGGCAATACTGCACAGAAACCATAGGTCCGGCGATCATACAACCAGTACTCATGTGTATGAGAGGCTTGTGTGTTGTTGGTAAAAAACTAATTTTTTGTCTAACCTCATTACTTTGTTCATTATTTGTGCCCTGCTCTCCCCTATGTTTTAAATCTATGCAATGTTTTTTTTTTTTTTTTTTTAAGAACAATCCTTATTAAGTGATATTATAAAAAAAAACATGACTACTGAATAACATCACAATTTGTAATTGATGAGTTAAATGTATGATGCATCCAAAATTATGTTATTATTTAATATACAATTGAAGTCAGAATTATTAGCCCCCTAATCTAAATATTTCCCATATGATGTTTAACAAAGCAAGACATTTTTCACAGTATGTTTGATATTTTTTTTTTCTTCTGGATAAATGCTTATTTGCTTTATTAAAGCTAGAATAAAAGCAGTTAAAAAATTTTTAACAAAACTGGTAAAATTATTAGCCCTTTTAAATTATATTTTGTTTCTCTCTCTCTCTCTCTCTCTCTCTCTCTCTATATATATATATATATATATATATATATATATATATATATATATATATATATATATATATAGACATTTTTATATATAACAGCTGATTCCCCTTTAGGAACCACACTCATGTTTTAAGGTTTTTCTAATTACATGATCATTTGTTCTAAAAGGGGACTCTTGAGGTTTTTGAAAGGAACAGTCAGCTCATCAAAGAACTCCACAATAAATCCAGGTACGGTTATGCAATACAGTTATTACTGTACTATACACAGTGTGTTTTGGGGTAAATTACTTCATTAGTACATAGTGTAAATGCTGTACTGTACTGCATATCTACTATGTGTCTACTTTCAGAGAATCATGGAATTGGAGGCAAATCAAGTCCCACATGAAATTATCTATGTTGACAAAGCTGACTTCAACTTGGCGAAAAGGCGTCGCCATGGGAGAAATGTAGGTAACACTTTACAATAAGGTTCATTAGTTAATGCTTTTGCTAACATGAACTGATCATGAACAAAACATGTGCAGTATTAATTAATCATAATTGAACATTTACTAATGCATTATTAACATCCAAGTCCATGCTTGTTAACATTAGTCATTGCAGCATGAGTTAACATAAACTAATGTACTACTGTATTTTCGTTAACGTTAACTAGCTTGAACAAATACAGTAGTAAATGTATTGTTCATTGTTTGTTCATGTTAGTAAATGCATTAATTAACATTAACTAATGAACCTTAATGTAAAGTTTGACCGAAATGTAATAGGACAAAGGGCCACAGTTACCATGTCAGGCCAGAGAAAAAGAAGCCTGGCAAATGCAGAAGATTGGGCAGAACAGAAGATTCCTTTGTTTTTTGTTTTTTTTATTACAATTGCAGTGCTTTTTTCTGTGTGTCTATCTTGCAGTGATGTCCTTTTGCAAATAAAGTCTGTTCTGCTGCAATTCTGTGTCTGTATTTTATTTTTTATTTTTTTACATAAACTGTATATTTTATAAAGCTACTCTGAGATGGTCGTTTATTTGTTGTATTGAATTTCTGCAGCACAAGAAATGCAAAATGCATGCGTTTACTAAACCCAACAAAACCAAATGTAGAGAGGCTCTAGATATAAGGGCAAAGCTGACACATACTGTAAAAGTATGCAGTTTCTGTAATATCAGCTGATGTTAGTGTTTTTATTGTCAGTTTGTTCTGATTAAATGTTTCTGTTGGAAGAGAACATGTCTTAGTGTTTTGTATAATAATTTGATTTTGAAACATGTTTGCAGTGTTTTGTCAGACATGGTGTATTGTGTTAGTTTATTATTGTATTTTGAACATTATTTTTGGAGTTTAGTTTACAATGTGTGATTTTGAGGATGAAATTAAACATTTTGCCAGTTGTGTGTTTTAGGTGTGTTGCTGCGTTAAGAGTTTAGCAAACTTGTTAAATGTATTGAAGAAATTGTCATAGCCATTGTGAAAAACGGTAAGCTGTTTAGAAGTGTCTTGAAAAATATCTAGTTAAATATATATATATATATATATATATATATATATATATATATATATATATATATATATATATATAATCATTTCGGCTTGGTCCCTTTATTAATCTGGGGTCACCCAGAATGAACCGCCAACTTATCCAGCATATGTTTTTAGACAGCGGATGCTATTTCAGCTGCAACCCATCACTGGGAAACATCCATAGACACTCATTCACACTCACACACTACAGACAATTGAGCCTACCTTGTGGGGGAAACCGGAGCACCCAGAGCATGTAAACATGCAAAGTCCACAAAAAAACGCCAACTGACCAAGCCAAGGCTCAAACCTGCGACCATCTTGCTGTGAGGCGAACGTACTACCATCATGCAGCACACACACACATGGATAAAACTCTACTCTAATTTGGTACTATGTTGGAGTGTCAGAGAACCGAATTTATCATTAAAATGTCATCAAATTTTTATGTAATTTAAATTTGTTATGTAATTTGATTTTAAAGAGAGCAAAAATGACTTACCTGAAGCAATAACTTGCCCAATTAGCATAATTAACCTAGTAAGGACATGAAATTGCATTTTAGGCTAAAAAATAGTCTATCTTTTAAAATAACTAATAAAATAGCATGTACTGATGCCATACTGCCATAATGACAAGGACAAAATAAATATGTTATTAGAAAGTAGTTATTTAAAAGATTATGTTTAAAATGTGTTGAAAAGTGAAAAACTTTGAAGGAGGGTATATGCGGTTTGTGCAATACTTATGTATTTTTTTGTGTCTTTTCAAGTAAATAAAATATTTTTTGATAATCCACCTTGCCTTTTCTGCCATATAATTGAAATATTTTTTTCAACACATTTACAAACATTCTAGTTTTAACAACTAATAACTGATTTATTTTATCTTATTGTACATAATAAGATAAGCACATAATATTTACTGCATATTTTTCAAGATACTAGTATTCGGCTTAAAGTGACATTTAAAGACGTAACTAGGTTAATTGGGTTAATTAGGCAAGTTATGATAATTAAGCAAGTTACTGTATGACTGTGGTTTGTTCTGTAGACTATCCAAAATAATATAGATTAAAGGGTCTGATAATTTTAAACTTACAATGTTTTTTACAATACTAAAAAAAATATTTTAAATGAAATAAAACAAATACGACTTTCTCCTGAAGAAAAAAATATTATTGAAAATATTGTAAAAAAAAAAAACTTGCTCTGTTATTTATTTTGTAAGTATTTAAAAAGTAAAAAAAAATACTTTAACTGTATATTATAACATGCCAGTAACTGCAGTTTTCATCTCTTATTCTTTCAAATCAATTTATTAAATAAATTAAATAAAAACTAGCAGCAATAGTGTAAGTACAAATCTGAGTATATCTTACATGTTTTACGTATTTTAATCCATTTAAGTAAGATGATTAACATAAAACATTAAAGATAACAAAGTATATTTCTATCCCTAGCATGTCTCACTGAAAAATAAAAATTAAGTGTAGACAATTCAAAATAGTGCAGGTCACAGTTAAATTTTCATTAACAAACATAAATCAGTGTCATACCTGTTTGACTTGAAAGTTGCAAGGCAATTTTTAAAAACAGCAACACAAACAGTGGATTGTCAAATGTCCTCATTTCTGTCTTTTAATCAGCAATCCAGTTAGGAATCCCCCATATGTGTTAGAAGTGTGGGAGGTTTTGCCAGCTATATACACTTTTTGTAGTTAAAAAAATGTGTATCCTGTCATGTGGTTGAAAGGGGGGCTGTTCGTTTAAATCATTCATTTAAGATGTGAAATGATCTTCTTTTACATTTGTAGTTATTGACATAATTAACATAGATTTTTATATATATATATATATATATATATATATATATATATATATATATATATATATATATATATATATATATATATATATAATTATTATTATTATTATTAGTTTTATTTTATTTATTTAAATGTAAGTAAATTACATTTACAATTAGATACATCTGTTTTAATTTGTGCTAACAGTCCAAGTGGGAAAGGGGTACACAGACACATAATATGTATATTTATTTATCTTGGATTTTTAATCATCTAAACTGCCTGAGTCAAAAACCTGCAGTGGGTCACACTCTGAACAAGAAACTTCAGCTTCTCTATTGTATCGTGTCTTGTCCATGTGAACACACTACTCTCTGTTTATACACAGTGCTTACATTTAAAATATTTTAATATTCCTATTTTACACTTGTGCAACAAAAATAAATCCATTTAACTGATTCATTCAGATAAAAAAAAACTACATTTTACTCCATCAGTGCTGTTAAAATTACCACATAAAATTTTAAATATAGTCACTCACGACAATATTTCACCTGAAGTTTTTCAGCCGGTCAACTGTATAACACTGTCATGGAGCTTCTCTCTGACAAAGACCTTGACTTGAGGTCTAGCATAACAAAACAACTTGAAACAATAATACCTTTTAATTTGTGTATGTGGCAAGAAGTACTGCAAAGCTCTCAGTTCCTGGTATTTTTCTTTCAGCTGAAAAAAAAATGCTGATTTGCTAGAATGGAAACACAATGGCAATTCTAGAGAAAATAAAGCTCAGCAAAAAGGAAATGAAAGGTACAAGCTTCAGAGGTCTGATTTGGTCATAGGGAAATCCTGTTTCCTGCTGAGTATAAGAAAGAATTGAGTCTTATAAAGACTAATCCCTAAAATGGCACAAAATGTTAGAAAGAAGGAAACAATAGACAAGGAGAAAAAAAATATTATTATAACTAAAGTACTATGAATATTATTTTTAACTTTGTCAGATTAGCCCATTGCTGCAAAAACACAATTAATAATAATAAAAAAAATTAAAAAAAGCTAATTAGAGGATGAAGAATGTTTTTACTCTTCATGCTCTCATTAATTTAATTTTAACATGACAAACATTTTGTTTTTCACTAACATTGATTAATAGTGTTTCGGCAGTAATGGCCAAAAGAGATGTCTGGAGGTGACATTTAAAATACATTTTCTTTTAAAGAGCTTACATTTTTTTTTCCTAATCTTCCACAGCTTAGATTTTGTTTGTTGTTTATGCTTTTGATCGGAACAGTGATCGAGGAAATTCAATTTGCAACTTTTTTTAATAAAACGGATGCCTGATTTGTCATTCTAAATAATAATAATAATAATAATAATAATAATAATAATAATAATATTATTATTATTATTATTATTATTATTATTATTATTATTATTATTATTATTATTATTATTATTATTATTATTATTATTATGGCACAGTCGGTAGCACTGTTGCTTTACAGCAAGGTTGCTGGTTTGAGCCCCGGCTGGGTCAGTTGCCATTTTTGTGTGGATTGTTCGCCCCGTGTTCGTGTGGATTTTCTCCTGGTGCTCCAGTTTCCTCCACAGTCCAAAGTCATGTGCTATAGGTAAATTGAATAAAACTAAACCGGTAGTAGTGTATGTGTGGGTGTGAATGCAAAAGTGAATGGGTGTTTCCCAGTGCTGCGTTGTGGCTGGAAGGGCATTCGCTGCATAAAACATGTGCTGGATAAGTTGGTGCTTCATTCTGTTGTGGCAACTCCAGAATAATAAAAGGACCAAGCGGAAATAAAATTAATGATTAAATCTTTTCACTATTATTATTTTTTGATATTGTGTCTAAAATCTTTTATTTATTTATTTTCTTTTCGGCTTAGTTCTTTTAGTAATCTGGGCCCTGTTTTTAAAAGGTTTAATCCGGGTAAAATTTATCCGGATTTAGCAATCCTGGTTTTGTGATCCGTGATCACGTAATACAGCTTACTTTTTGAGCCAGTTTTTCAAAGCAACATCAGACTGGACCAATCACACAAACACTGTACATTGAGGATATTTATAACAAGTTTCAAATACAGATGTATTGAATAAAAAAACGACTTCGTCAAAAACTCCACAACAATTTCAGACTTCCGCATCTGATGTGGAGAGACTAGCTTGTCTGAGCGTAGCCTTTAGAAGGCGGATCTCAAGTCTGGCCTTGGTTTGCTGCAGTAAGTTATTCCTCTGCCCGACGAAGCTGTGCTTCTGCCCATTCAGTCTCTTTTTGCAATTGTTGAAAGTGAAAAAATCAGTCATTGCCATTCTTTGCAATTTTTTTTTTTTTTTTTTTTTGGTTATTCAGTAATCATTGCATGCATCAATAATAAATATTATAAAAAGTAAAATATTTTCCAATGTGATATATATATACACACACACACACACACACATTAGTGACAGAATAAAATTGCTTGTTAATTAATTGATTTGGTCAATTTTGACAGCTGTTTGGGGGATTATTTTATGAGGCTAAACTCTTTCTACTTTGCTGTAGGCCTATACTGAAAGGCTGAATTTGTTAAAGCCTACCCAATCACTGTAGCCTGATGGATGAACAAATACAATCAAACCTTATGAATAAATAGTATATCTTGTAAGATACTGCATGATCCAAATATACTATTGTTTGATAAATTTTGTAAGTTTTCATTACATTTTGGGCATAAATTCCACGCTGAATCTACCCTTCTGATGGGATCAGTTTAATCCAGATTTTTTGAAACAAAATGATCCAAATCCTACAAAAAGGTCTGAAAAACCCAAACTAAAAATTTGATCCGGATCAAAACCAAGATTGGATTACGTGATCTTATCCGATTATGGTATCCGTTTTTTTTCCTTTGAAAAACCTATTTTCAAGATTTGATTCAATCCCTTATCCAAAATCCTAGTGGATTACTTTTGAAAAAACCAGGCCCTGGGGCCACCACAGCGAAAGAACAAAAAATTTGTTTTATTTTTTTCTCACATATCCCAAGGTTTTAATTGGTCAGGTTTTTTTAAATAAATACTTGTATCATTAAGACAAATTTTATTTTCAATATATGTGTTGTTTTTATTCATTTCAATATTTAGAGATTGACAGACAGGATCTGGTACAAAACATATACACACAAATGCATTTTAGCCTAAATAAACCTTAAATGCATGAAATAAAATCCAACATAGAATAATTTAGAAAACTTTGAATGTTACAATTTTAAAATAATAACATGTTCCAATCTGCTTTGTACAAAAATAAAGTTTAATCTGTTTTATAAAAATCAAACCCCCTGGCATACATACATGTACCAAGAGAAAAATAAAATAGAAATGTGTTCCACAAACAACTTAGAACTTAAAAGAAGATAACATTAAAAAATCATGTCTGTGCTCTCTCTGGATTTCTGGATTACACAATGCATTATTTTGTCATTCAATAATACAGATCCTAAATCTTTTCAGAGCCACTGATATTGCTATGTTAGTGTATTAATCTCCCTTTTCTTTTATCAGTCTGATATTTTGTTTGATGTGTAAATGGAATCATGCAAACTATTCATGTGTAAAATGTATTTCTGCACCACTCCTGTGAACCACCACTATAGAAAACTGCTAAAATAATACCTCACCCTCAAACTCACATTTATTAAACAGATGTTATTACTAGCTCAAATCGTTCCTGCAAACACTTTGTTTTGCTAGTAAATTATGTAGAATAATGTAGTAGATCCTAAATCAGATAAGTATGTATTATTCTATGCCATTTTGCAGTATAAATAGTACAAGTAGTGCATTCACAATTAAAAAAAATATATTTAAAAAGGAATAAATAAGTGCAGTTTAAATACCTGGATGATGTACCGATTCAGTTGATAAACATACATAAGTTTGAAAGGTTAAATGCTTTATCCACTCAGTGCTTAAGTGGAGGAGCTATCGAGGTTGGATTACTTCATTTACTTTGAATTTTGCCAGCAAAATTATCCAACATAAGTGATGATGTGCTTTGGTTTCCCCCACAGTAAAAAAACATAAAGTATATGTGAATTTGATGATTGACCTTAGGCCCCATTTACACTAATACGTTTTAGTTTTAAAACTGTGTTTTAGAAAGAAAACGACCCAAGTCCACATGCGTTTCACCTAGCAATTCAGAAAAGTTCTCGGTTAACACTATACCGCTGAAAACGCGTATCATGTGACACATATACACACACTGGAATTCACTGCAGTATATGCACCTGTCTGAGCTCCAGGCAGTCAGCTGGGGCCTCATGTTCAAAGATTTGCGTTAAATTCGTACCAAAACATTGCATACATACAAAGCTGCAAATATATGTACTCAGTATAATCCTGATGAATGAAACACAGCGTAAGTGAAATCCCTTGCATATTCTCTTTGTACATCTGAATTAACATGAAGCTGAGTGCAAGTACACAAGCGCAAAACCCCTCCTTGCCTCCTCCTCCATATAAAAATGGCAATGACTCCACTTTGGCAAAACCAAACGAAAAAGCAATGGCAAAAGCAAGCAAGAAGAGAAACTTCACAGAATGTCAATTGGAGATGCTCCTATTGGAGGTAGACCGGAGAAAATTTGTGTTATTTCTTAGTTTGTCCTTCGGAATTATTAAGAAAAGAAAAAAAAATAGAAAGGGAGAAATTAGCTGACGCAGTTAACACATTGAGGTTGCACTGTGAGTGAATTAAAAGAGAAATGGTCAGATGTAAAGGTGCAGGTTAAGAGAAGAACAGCAGCACTGTTGTAAGTGAGAGCAGGGTTACCCCTTATGTGCACCACCAGAGGGAGCCTTCACCTGAATTCTAATCGGATTCTTTGACTCAA